CATAAGGAACATTCATGCCATGTTTGGTTTCATTCTATTCAGTGGTTCTCTTAAAGAACACGTTTGTATGTATTTCCCATAGGGTCCCATGTTAAACTAAGTCCCCTGCTGGCGGCCATCTTGGATTATGGATCGGCTTCAAAGTAACAACACTTGGTCAACACCTCATACGGAACATTCATGCCATGTTTGGTTTCATTCCATTCGGTGGTTCTCTAAAAGAAGACATTTGTATGTATTTCCCATAGGGTCCTATGTTAAACTAAGTCCCCCGCTGGCGGCCATCTTGGATGATGGATCAGCTTCAAAGTAACAACACTTGGTCAGCACCTCATAAGGAACATTCATGTTATGTTTGGTTTAATTCTATTCAGTGATTCTCTAAAAGAAGACATTTGTATGTATTTCCCATAGGGTCCTATGTTAAACTAAGTCCCCCGCTGGCGGCCATGTTGGATTATGGATCGGCTTCATAGTAACAACACTTGGTCAGCACCTCATAAGGAACATTCATGCCATGTTTGGTTTCATTCTATTCAGTGGTTCTCTAAAAGAAGACATTTGTATGTATTTCCCATAGGGTCCCATGTTAAACTAAGTCCCCCACTGGTGGCCATCTTGGATTATGGATCGGCTTCAAAGTAACAACACTCCGTCAGCATCTCATACGGAACATTCATGCCATGTTTGGTTTCATTCCATTCGGTGGTTCTCTAAAAGAAGACATTTGTATGTATTTCTCATAGGGTCCCATGTTAAACTAAGTCCCCTGCTGGCGGCCATCTTGGATTATGGATCGGCTTCAAAGTAACAACACTCGGTCAGCACCTCATAAGAAACATTCATGCCATGTTTGGTTTCATTCCATTTAGTGGTTCTCTAAAAGAAGACATTTGTATGTATTTCCCATAGGGTCCTATGTTAAACTAAGTCCCCCGCTGACGGCCATCTTGGATGATGGATTGGCTTCAAAGTAACAACACTTGGTCAGCACCTCATAAGGAACATTCATGCCATGTTTGGTTTCATTCCATTCAGTGGTTCTCTAAAAGAAGACATTTGTATGTATTTCCCATAGGGTCCTATGTTAAACTAAGTCCCCCGCTGGCGGCCATCTTGGATGATGGATGGGCTTCAAAGTAACAACACTTGATCAGCACCTCATAAGGAACATTCATGCCATGTTTGGTTTCATTCCATTCAGTGGTTCTCTAGAAGAAGTTCAAAATGTAAAAAGTTAACGACGACGACGACGGACGACGGACGCCAAGTGATGAGAAAAGCTCACTTGGCCCTTCGGGCCAGGTGAGCTAAAAACTAAAGACAAAAACCTAAAATTTAAATTAGAAGGTAATGAAATAGAATGTGAAGATAGCGTTAAACTTCTAGGCGTAACAATAGATTTTAAACTAAATTTCAATGAACATGTCTCTATAATATGTAAAAAAGCATCCAAACAGTTAAATGTATTAAAAAGAATAGGAAAACACCTGACTAAACTCGGAAAATTAACAATATATTATTCTTTCATAACGTCCAACTTTAATTACTGCCCACTAGTTTGGCACTTTTGTGGGGAGGTTAATACAAAAAAGATAGAGAAAATTCAAGAGAGAGCATTAAGGTTTATCTATGAAGACTATTCAGCAAGTTATGAAGATCTACTCTGCAAATCAAAATTACCATCTTTAAAAATAAGAAGAATGCGATCATTGGCTATTGAAGTTTTCAAAATTATTAATAAAGATTGTCCTGTTTATCTCCATGATTTAATACACTTAAAGGAAAACACTTACTCTTTCAGTTACCAGAATACAGCCGACCTACCACATGTAAGAACAACTGCATACGGCCTACAATCTTTAAGGTATGCAGGTGCTAAGCTTTGGAATGAGCTGCCAGATGTGCTACGTAAGCAATCATCTTTAAATCAATTCAAGAACTTGATAAATTCTTGGTCTGGCAGCTCATGCCAATGTTTTGCCTGCAAAACCAGTTAATTTCTGTTCATTATTTTTGGTTTAATGCTTTATTTTCAGCATGGCAATTTTATTTTATTATCTTTACTATAGTGCTTCTGCTGCTTTGTGCTAGTTTTAGTAACTAACTAATCTATATGTGCTTTTAATGTGCATACCATTTTATTTTTGCTTTTGTGCTTTTATCTCACAAGTGCATGTTTCAGTGTGTGTTTAACTTGTAAGATGCTTTTAAGAACTTTTGTGCTGCATGTTTATATACTGATATGAACTCTTGCTTTATATGTTTAGTTACGTGTGCATGACTAGATATGTATGTTTTGTTTTATTTGTTGCTCTGTCGGTTTTAAAAGCTCTTCAGAGCTTATGTTTTATACTTGTATTTGCATATACCGACTCTAAATAAAGCTTTATGTCTTATGTCTATCATCAATTCACGATTTAATATATAAATATTGACGTTTGTTTGTTATCTCCCCTTAATTCACAAAGAATGAAAAATAAATGAAATAAAATCTGACTAGAATTGCATTCTCAAAAGCAAAATGCAAAAAGATTTCAAATACCTTTTTAAAAGGTTAAAGAGAGATGTTTAATCAGGGACAATGATATTAAAGCAGACTTTGCTAATATTGATTTCAATATAGGAATTAATTATGGCACTGGCTACGGTTACATGGAAATGTAACAATAATAATAAAATTATTGTTACATTGGAGACTATTTGCCGGAATACAAGGTTGGGTAAGGATCCGATTAATTATGTAACAATAATATTTGAGTCTACGGTTACATTGCGTTATCGTTACATATTGATTATGCACTTCAATGTAAGCTAGATTTATTAAACTTAAACCTTATAGTTTTGATGCTGAATTGTTTTCGCCAATAAGAACGAAGTTACGATCACATAATATCTGGACTCAGAAAATGAAAGCACTGATTCCACCAGTTTCACTATGTCGGCAAATGTTAACATTACTGAATTGCCTTCACAATATAACATAAACATATCAAGATTAAAAAAAAAAAAATTCATATGAATCATGACAGACATTGAAAGTTTCTTTATACTTCAAAAAGGGATAGTGCAAAATGTAATTGTACAGTATACAATACAGACGTGGACATTGCTGCATCACTTGTTTGTGATGGCTGCTTAGTGGTTTCACTAAAATGCGTGGGACTAAATCATGCTTCCATAAACAACATACGGGATTTGTAGAATTGACATTGTAAATAAAAAAAAATAAAAATTGTATGCAATATTGCAATATTCAAATAAAAGTTTTCAAGTTTTATTTTGCATTAATGTAACAATAACGCAATGTAACCGTAGACTCAATTATTATTGTTACACTCGTAATTAATCGGTTCCTTACCCAACACTGCATTCCGGCAATTAGTCTCCAATGTAACTATAATTATTCTATTATTGTTACATTTCCATGTAACCGTAGCCAGTGCCATTAATTATAAACATAAGTTTAATACTTTATTTAGCAGAAAGCAAAACTTGCCGATTTATCTATTATAGTTTAATTTATCAATACTGAACACACCTTAGTGTTCTATGCTTTCATCAAAAGGAAATAATTAACTAGACCACAAACAATAGGCTCTAGCTTGGGTTTGTGCAGAAAATATTTGCCCTTAGACAATAAGCAAGCAACAATAAATCAGTCGAAACTTCAGGTCTCACTAATTAGCGACAACAAGCGTCAAGAAGCAACAACAAGCGTCAACAAGCGACAAGAAGCGACAACAAGAATTATTTTAGCGACAAGAAGCGACAAGAAGACTATTTAGCGACAAGAAAACATTTTTTTTTTATTAGATAAGAAATTTGTATTTAATGGTTTTTTTTTAAATATACGAGCAGATATGTCTAATTAAAATGTTTTATTATATAGATAGACGAAGAAATGAAACATTTGTGAGGAAGAAAGAGATTGTGAAGTTTATATTAGTATATTGGTAGATGAAGAAATTAAACATTTGTGAAGAAGAAAGAGATTGAGCTTCTTTTTTTTATTTTTAAATATGAAGAATATGTATAAGATAATGTATGTATCTGTTTTCATCAAAGTCAAAGTATGAATAAACGAATGGAGATATATATGGAGCGGGCATAATGGAATATAATATTTTGATTCATTTACTTAATACTATGCTCTAAGTGTACTCTTGTTATGTCAATTCGATGCTTTATTTGAAGAACTCTCAGCCACGCTTTGCCATCTTTATTATTTAAGCGTGTTTCCAGACCCCAAGACGAGGACGTGGTTCTACCTTGGGGTCCATATAATTTTTTTTTTTTTTTTTTTTTAATTATTTTTAGTCATTATATAGTAATATGTACATTCCTATCTAACATAATATTTATACATTTTGTACATGGTGGTCCCATTTTGATAAGCCGTAGATTTTTACCACTAAGGTTCACTGTATTTTTGCCCTTTTTGAAGTTGTAGTTTTAGCATTTTTAATACGTTTCCGTTGGCAAGGTTTTATCTGCACATGCACTTGTTTTGGGGATTGTCAGCCCACAAGGACAATGATGCACAAATAATTCATTTTGCGAGCTTAATATATATTGCAAGAAAAGAGTTTTAAAAAACAAATTATAAGATAAATAATATGTTCTAAAACACAAGGAAAAGTAATCTCATAATACAATAATTAAACGTAATACTGGCTGTTATACATAATAGATGATAAAATAATATGTAAATAATGTTTCATTTTTTTCTATCAATTTTAACTTTCTTGTCGCTAAAATTATTTTCTTTTGCATATTCTTTTAATATTTATTGCAATAATTAATTTTAATTAAAAAAAATATGTTTTCTTGTCGCTAAATAGTTTCTTGTCGCTAAAATAATTCTTGTTGTCGCTTCTTGTCGCTTGTTGACGCTTCTTGTCGCTAAAATTCTTGTTGTCGCTAATTAGTGAGACCGGAAACTTCAGATCATTAGTCTCAAAAAAGCAACTAAATCAATTATTGCTCTCGTGTAACACCTTTTATACTCAGCATATGCATCCACAGCAGAGGCCGCAGATTTGTCAAATTTCAAATGATACTGTCTAGCTGCCATTTTTATACAAATCTAAAGCGTGTCACTGTTCAAATTTTATGAGAATATTCCTTTGAGTGTAGTCGCCATTTGTAAACGTGACCAAGGAACTTCGGTATTTTTCTAGACTCTTCCATCTTTTCTATCGAAAAGGTCAATCATGTATTTAATGTTCTCGCCAGAACTTTCATTTCCAGTACCATTTATAGGTATGAATAAAAACCAATTTTGACTTTAAACAATAGAACACCGGAAAGTATTGTCTCATATTGATCCAAATCAATAATACGGAGTGTGGAAACAATTGTTTCAAAAGACTAAATTGGAATAATGATATTAATATAACATTGAATGTTATGAAACATTTAAAATCATAAGAGAGCAGTGTTGCTTTATTGCATGATTTAGTTTTACCCGCAAGGTAGCCTTTTTTGTGCTTAGGCGTCATAAAGCAAACATTAATCAATCAATCAATCATGATTTAGTTTATTGAATAAAATATTGTGTAAACCAAAACTATAAAGGGCCTACACAGAACAGCCAAAACTGTCTGTCAATTTTGCCAGTTGTAGGTACAACATTGGTTTTAGTTGATAAGGTTTTCCAAAGGTCATATTTTATATAAATTGGATCAAATATATTTTTGCATAAACATATAAAAAGCATGCTATACTATAACTACAATAAAGGATATTTGGATATTTCAGATAAACAGTTATCACACTTGAAATCTACCAGTTCCCCATAAGCATGGCTAGAAATTATTTTACCTTTCAGTTATTTAAAAAAAACAAAAGCCATATTAAAGGTTCAATCAATGGGGACTCAAAATATTGCAATTTCATACATCAGAATAAAATATGAAGTTAATAAAATGAAGATCTATTAATTAGCATAATAAAAAAAAGAAGTTATTTTGGATGTCAAGCCAGAATAAAATGATTCAATTATGGGATACAAATGAACATCCTATGAAGTTAAGTGGAATTTTAGTCAATACCATTACCAGTACTTCATCACCAAAAGTTAACTTACATTGAACACTACATAGTTGGGTTTTGGGAATGACGGCTAAAATGCATTAATCAACTGACAAAATGTTAGTTTCAACATTTTTTCCCTTAGCTAATGAGAAACATAAATCAATATGATGTCCATTACATGGGCTAATGGAAATAAAACTAAGATAGTTTTAAGGAAAGTCTTTCATGAAATGAATCAGCTTTTTCATTGAAGCAGACTTGTGCCTTCAGTTTCTGTTATACTGTAGATTAATTTATTTTCATGGGTACCAATTTTATGGATTTAAAAAAAAATGTTTTTCATGGATACATTTTGATCCAGATTTCCGTTTTGACTTCCTGGTTATCTATATTTAGGAATCCCATGAAAATAAGTACCCCACAAATAATAATGAAACCACAGCAAATTAAAAATAATCTAAAGTATTGACAATTGCATGATAATTCTTTCAGACAATTGTATGGGTTTAAATTTTACAATATTTTCTCCTTACAGCCACTGTCCTCTTTGGAATCAAACTTGCAGAATAATGATGAGGTGTTTTTTTAACGACCTTGACTACCCATGAGGGTCTTGCATGGTCAGCTTGCAGAATAAAGTATGTAATGTAAAATCCCTTGATATCTTTCTAATATTTTCTACTCATTAATAATGATGGGAGTCAAAGTTACAGCTCTACAGCCTGTGCTTTTATTCTTTAGTTTTGCAAATGGTGAGAATAAATAAACAGAAATAAACACAAATGTTTCATTCTTTAATGATTAAACATAACCTCCTCCATACAAAGTAATTTGTAAATTCAAATGAAATAAAAGCAATGACACAAAAACATTTGTATGGTGTTGAAAAATCACCACTTTTTAAAAGATATCTTGCAATAACCAAAACTTCCAACTTTTTATCATCAAATAAAAAAAAGATATTAAGAAATAATTTGGAACAAACAACCTTAATTTTATTTTAGTACTAAAATCTGTATGCAATTCATGGCAATTTGCTCTAAATCAACTTGATATACATACATAAACATAAATAAAATTCTGAGTCTTAAACATTATTTTCTTCATTTTCATATTTTTAGGATTTTACATATTTCAAAATATTACAACATAAAGCATTCGTGTGTTAACCTGTTCTCATGCTAGTGATCACTCCTATTGTCCTGGCTGCTAGAATCATATCACTCAGACAGAACTTAATTGCATCAAAGTTTAATTTGTAGGTGCAGAAAGGGCCCTTTATTTTCCCCAACATTAAGTCCTTTATTTGAAGATGAAAAGGTTTTATCAAGGTGTGAGAAAATGAAAAAGAAAGATGTTTGCCAATCTTTTTTTATAAAGAAATAAAAATACTGGTGAAAGTTGACAAAATCTTCTAGATCTCAAACACATTTTTGCCTAGAAAACATACCATAGGGTTTGACAAACTAAATATTCAAGTAAAGTAGATCATTTGTTATAACAAAGATAACATTAAAAAAAACTTGTTTGATGCATACAGCATATGCTTACATTCATAAAAACCAATGGAAATTTATATTTTTCTTTTAATTTTATGCAAAATTATAATTGTGCACTTTGCACTATTTTTTGCTACTTTTCATGTATCAAAAGAATACTTTAATACTTACATTTTCACACACAAATATTGTGTTTCATACCTTGTCTTTGTTTTAACTATGATACACTAAGACAACTGCCATTAAATAATAATTTGTTAACACATTATTGGCTTATGCTGTAAATAAAGCTTATTTTTAACAAAAATATAATCTATAACAAACAAACTAAACATATAGATAAAAATAATAAAAACCAAATTCAAAGTGTTTGTCACAGAAATATTTTAAAAATCAATCTCTGTCCAATTTTATTAGATATTAGAGAAAAAAAGATTAATAGTATTCTGTGTTGTTCTCCATCTTCACCTCAGCAATTGGACCATATAACTGAATTTTACCATTAAATCATAAAATACTCTATGAATTATGGTGATCAATTGATAAATATAGAAAATAAAACAGATCTTCTGAATTAGTTCAGATCTGTTATAAATATATGTGTAAAAAAAACAACTTTTAAATTGATCGATTCAACGAAAAACAATTCGTTCAGATCTGTTATAAATATGTGTGTAAAAAAAACAACTTTTAAATTGATCGATTCCATGAAAAACATAAGATGTAAGCAGTGTTTGTGCAGTGTTTGTAAAACAAAAAGACCATTCATTATCATACAGAAAAATGTATATGAACAGGACAGAAAAAAGATTCAAAGAAGACTATGTTTGTGCTATTTACTAATCATCATACATATAAGTTACAAGCAAAAATAACAAATACTTTTTTCTTAATCATATCAAAAACTACAGAACAAATAGGATTAAATCAAAAAAGTATTTCTCATTATCCCAGTAAAAACAAAGTTAAAACAAATTTGAACATTGCTGGTGAAAATATTCAATTATACAGATTATCAATTTCTATATAAGAGATGATAAAATAAAAGAGGTTTTGCTTACAAAGCTTATACTAGTAAAAGCAATATATATAAATACTATGCATGAATCATAACTTTCAAAAACAACTCTTGCAAACTATTCTTGTGCAGGCAAAATTCAAACAAACAAACAGAAAACATGTGCAACAATTAAATAATATATATTTTAACCTAAACCCTGTAATCTATAACAATTGAGGTAAAAATCTTTTGGATGTTGCTTTTTTGTATTACAATCATAAATATATGATATGCCAAAGAGATAGTGATGCCTTCAATCTAGAGCAAACTTTTTTTCACTTATCACTTTCTCTTCAAAGAAAGTGGTCAAAGAGGGCCATATTTAGACCAAGTCGGTGGTTGTCAATATCTGTTGCGGGTCATTTTAGAATTTGGTGATGCTGTCAGATATTTGGTTTTGTTTGATTTATTTACAAATTGTCAACGGTTTAGAGTTTTAGTAAAGATTTTCTTTACATATATCTCAGATACATTTTATGTTGCTTATTTGGTTTCTTTTTAACTGAAGTAACTAATGAACATGATATATTATTGACACTGTATTTTTTTATTACCATTTTATTCAACTTTTTAATATCCCTACTAGAAAAGAGGAACTATCAGTAATTTCACATAGTACTTAAATTACAAACATACAGTGGAAACAAATGGTTTTGAGTGGTCATTTTTTTATATCATTTCCTTTCTTTTCCCAAAAAAAAAATCTCTACTATGTATTGTTAAAGTTCGGATTTCACCAGTTAAATCTTAAGACTATGGCTATTGTGTTGCATACATTATAAACTTAAGGAAAATGTATAACTTTCAATTTCTTCCTCAAGTTTAAAAAACAATATATTGCACAGGTGGTTTTATAAACAGTTTTGGCAAGCAAAGCTTTTTTTCTACATGTTTAATATGAATTTAACTGCTGACTGACAAAATGAATCATGGAATTATTTTAAACAGTAGTCTTCAAGTTAAAATTGGTGGGGATTTATTAAGCCAAATACTTGTAATTATGTGTGTTTAAACTGATTTGTACGTCCCAAAAATATTCTAATAGACAATTTTTATTTAAGAATTCTATCGTACAATTGAATTCATACATAGATATTTAGCTGAGTTTAACTTAAGACACGACAGATATCCTAAATTTAATTAAAAAAAAAGTAATAACTTTTCTATCTAATTTGATGAAATAGTAATATAAAAATATGGAGATGTGGTATGATTTGCCAATGTGACAAAATACTTATTTATCAGCAGACATCCCTTCTTTAACAAATTATTATTAATGATAAATTCAAAGAATTTGATTTATATTGTTGATTTTCTTAAATTCTTTTGCCTATAATGTTTGGTAAGAAATATATATGTTTGTTCTTCAAAAATAAACATAACAAAAATTCAATAAAAAGCTTTTAAAAATGTAATACATCATGAATAAAACAAATAAAAAGTAGATCATTTAAATTTCTTAAGTATTATGCATTGATTATAACTGAACTGTTTCACAATACTTTATGAACTCTAAATGTACGGTTTGTAAAAACTTTTTTGAAATAGCGTGTAAAATCAGATCCATCATGTCTTATAACATCGCAGAATCGTGGCACACTACTACGAACTAGATTTGGTTCAGGTTTCACCAATTCTGGAAGCTGAAATACAAATTCATTGATTAAACATAGTGAAGTGTTTTAAATTTTGAGTGGTAAACTGCAACATGGTATAAATTTATTAAAAAAATACATTGTAAACCAATATGGAATTAATGCATTCATGTTGCTCAGAGATTTTTCTATTTTGGAAAGGACAGTTTTTATTAATAAAATAGTTATAATATATCTATTTTATAATCCCTGTCTTTATTGTTCTTTATCATATGCCCATTGTGTATGGTCCGTGAATCCTATAACCTTTGAAATAAATCTCATTCATCTCCCATGAGGAATGTAGATGCTAGACACTTATTCTGTTGATTTTCCATATTATTTACATTCAAAACTCTCTCAAAAAATATTTCTTCAGCGATGATCGAACTTGGTATTGATAACAGAAACCTTTGACAAAAATTTCATTACACTGCAACTAAGAAATATCCACATAAGAATGCTCCTGCTTACAATGTTGATTTGCCATACAATTTACATTCTACATGGCATAACTCTCCCTCCCCCTATATATTATTACAAAGAGAGAAATGGTGGTCATCTCAATAAAACAATATAAGGATAAGCTGTAGTTCATACATTGATCTTTTGATATAAACATATAGGTGATGATGATTGATTGATTGATTGTTGGTGTTTTAACGCCACTTTTAAGAGCCACATTTGGGCTATTTCATGGCGGCCAGTTTTTATTGGTGGAGGAAGCCGGAGTGCCCAGAGAAAACCACGACCTTCGATAGGAAAACTGACAATCCTAGTCAATTAAGATTGGAGTCGAGTGAACTTGCACGAGCGGGGTTCGAACTCACAACCTCAGTGTTGACTGGCTAGCGATTACAGTAGTAGAACTACTTAGACCACTTGGCCACCGAGGCCCATAGGTGATGATGTATTTGATATCAGTGTAAACTTACCACACCATTATCAAAGTCTATTATATCTGGTAAACGACAGCCATCCTCCGTATGAGCCAGACAGATACTGTCCTCTAAAATCATATAATTTGCTTTGTTTTCCTTCATTATTTCATGTATGTCTTTTGGTGTTCTCCTTCCATAGATCTGCATTAACTGCAAAGAAAAGTGACAATAAAAAAAATAAAAGGTATGTTATTCTTTTTCCTATTTAAATTGATCATGAAAAACAGAAAGTATGTCATGTTCATAACCCGTCTATTCAAAAATATATATAGATAAGTCTATCTGCTTTTTTTATTTAATGTGTAAAAAAAAAACCAAAAAGCTGCTCAATTTGTAAGTAGTTTCTTTAATGAAAAAAAGATTGTTTGCTAAAGTCCAAAATCAAATATATTTTTATAACCATACCTCCTTGGTTTTAAGTCTGAGTTTTTTGTCTTCATAATGAGGATGGTTTGTGATTGGTCGACCTGTACACAGTTTAACCCCTGCCAGTAGCTGCATGCTCCCTGTGAATGAAGCATCCTGTGGTGTATCCTTATTGATCCACTCCATCAGAGCTACTGTGTCTGGATCCCAGAATTCCTTTAATTCCTCCAATTCTTTTAAAGCTGGTGGTAAAGCCTGGAAATTATCTTTTATAGTCATTCTATTGATATATGATCAAGGATCCGGAAATTTTTCCACACAATTTCGGTCATTTTGAGATGATTGAAAAGTTGGTGCCCCTTTCCAAATTGTCGATGTCAACTTGAGTCTTGACTAGATTCATAGCATCAACGAACTTGTATTGCTGTTTCATCGCATTTACTAAGTAAATGTCTTACCATTACCATGAAGAACAGTTTAGGGAAGGCAATAGTTTAAAATTGAAATGATTTTAATGACTCAAAATGGTAAATCTCTCAGACATTGCTTATTGACAAAAGTTAAAACCGGAAGTTTGCGATAAAGTTAAAGTACGAATAATTCCGGATTCATTTCCCGGATTTGTTTTGTTTATCAAATTGACAGGAAATCACCGGCTTTTTATGTTTTTTTTTATTTTATTACCTTTAAAAGTGTTTGAATGTAACAGACAATAGTTGCACTCGTTTAATTAACAATGAAATCAATTTGCATTTTACGATTAAATATTAAATTTGCTGAAGACAATTTCACGCATGCGTATTATACAGTAGATAAACATGAAAAAATACTTTTTTCTCCGTGAATTTAGGTTTAATTTTTAAATCAGATTTGATTATTGTCTTTGCTGAAAAGTAATTAAATAATGAATACACTTGTCAGGGAATTTCAATTTTTGTTAAGATATTATTCTGAGCTTGTGATCACTGTCAGGTGTGAATTAAAACCACAGGTAAAAAGTGATTAGCGATCATTAGCCAATGTTTCCCGGAGGCATTGATATAGATATTAGGAGGGCCCTCAGGATTATCAAACTACTGGAGTGGCAGTTTTATTACAGGAAAGGGATTATAAACAAAACAAGTTATCACAACTTACACAAGACAGTGCAAAATGGCGATTAAGAAATCCGATTTCAAACATTGAGTCAATGAAATGACCGAAATTACTTCTTTAAAAAAATAAAATTTGTCCTAAATCCCAATTACTCGTTTAGGACAAATAGTTTCATCTTAGGACATGACTGGCATATATGACCGTTTCCGGACCCTTGTATATGATACAGAGAATTATTTTTTTTAAATGACACTTATATTTTTGTGTTTTTAATTAGTACTCTCACCACACAACAACCCATTTCAGCCTATATAAAGAATTAAGACAAAAATGAAAGTTACCATGATTTTATATCCAGTTAGATTAAGATAGGCACTTTTGCAGATAATGCTGTAAAGAAGATTTATCAGCCTGATTTCTGTAACTGCTGACTTAACAGATAAGGCTTTAACGTTTTTTTTATAACAAAATGCAGTTAATTGTTAATGCAAAGAACAGATATCTGCCTCCCTGAACTCAATAACAGTGTAGTGTACTGTTTGTAGACCAGTAAGTATTCTGGTTATAGAAATAAAGTGTATACCTACCACTGTTAATAAAGCAACTAATGTCAGCAGAGTACTAAAATGTCTTACTATCTGTACCTGAAAGTAAAATGTACTATATATTAAACTAAGAATCAATTATTTGTGGCCATTATCTGAAGTATGGCAAGTCTTATTTTACGGTCAGGGTCATAGCAATAAAAAATGTTTACACATATAAACCAGTTTTACAATGTCACAAGTATGAACTTCTACCAGACAAAATAGGTCAGTGAGTGTTTTTGAAATTTAAGACCTTGACATAGTTTATAATGCATATTGTTGGAATCACAATGAAGGAGTTTATTGATGTACAATTTCTGTCTGTTACAGAAAAACTTAACATAAGTCCTTTTATTCATGTCCTTTAAATAACCTTAATTACTACTGGGGATTCAATACCAACTTTTTGTGGATTTCATGGGTATAGGTTAACCATAAATTTGGAAGTTTAATGAAGTGCCAAATTATCTATAGGCTTGTATGCAGACTTTAGCAAAACCACAAAAACAAATATCCACGAAAATACAATTTTACCTCAATCCGCAAAAAACTGGTACCTACTGAATCATAAGTAATAGCTCCTTATAATGTACAAACCATTGTTCCTTGTGTTTTGAGTTGGGTTAGAACCGCTTTCCACATTTTTAGATCGCTAACTCCAAAGCTGGCAAGTATACACATGTATGGTGTCCATAAATACTTCATTCTCAATGTTGACATGGCAAGACCACCAAAAAATACTCCACAAACTAAACAGGAAAAAATATAAGTTAATGTTGACTTACATGTTTAAAATGTGTAATAATTGGTATACTATTTATATCTACGTTTTGCATAAAAAATGTTATCATATCTAAGTTTTGCATAACAAATATTATCTGTATATTGAATTAACAAAATCTTACAATAAAAATACAGTGGTAGCAAATGCTATCCTTCCAGAACACCCGGGTCCACTCTTGGTTTTGGGTGGATATCATGAGTTTAATCTTTATATTTCTGTTTTTCTTGTACCAAAATGTGGTTATGGTTATTTGTCTGTTTTCCTTTTGATAACCATTTGATCTTCTAACTACATAAGTGATAAGTTGGGATCAAATCCATTCAGAGGGTTGTGTTAAGTGTATTGCATATTTTCCCAATGGATGTGACATTCCTAATTTTGACTTCTACATAAATCTCATTGGTGGAAGAAAGAAAAACCTTCATTACCTAAAGTCATGTACCTTTTTGAATACTGATACTTTGTAAGCACAATGATACATTCATTTTAGGTCACGGTCAAACTGTAACCATCAATTTTACATTCAAGTTTATGCAACAAAATAAATTATTTAAGCATGTTTGGAAAAACAAATTATCCTTCACGTAACTAGATCTAGATACTCAACATGTTTCTAACCATTTTTATCAGATCAAATTCTCTAAAAGTTGCAAATTCCAAATAATGTTCTAAATTAATACAAACAGTTTGTGACTACCAGTAATTTTTAATCTTTGACTTAATTGTAACTTATTTTTCAAATACACTCACCAGCATGAAAGGCTAACTCTGGTCTATTACTAAGTAAATGTGTTTTCTTTATGACAGGATGGTCTTTGATATTTTCAGTTTCATGAACATTATTGCTAAAAAACACAAATAGATAAACTGTCTAATTTTTTTTGAATTGTTCACATTTTAACATGCTTGGGCCTTTTATAGCTTACAATACAATATGGATTTTTCTCATTGTTGATATCGGTGTTTTTTCATGTGAGTTTAACTCTCGCTTTGTTCATGGCACCTACAGAAACACGAAATTTGACCCCTGCCTTTTCCTAGATTTGGCTGTTTAAACATTTCATACATAAAACCATGGAAGTAATATTTAAAAGGAATAACAACGACTAATTAGCATGTATTAACAGCCTGCAGAGCTCTGTACTAAAGTCATATGATTTTATCCAATTATAGTCTCAGCAGCAAGACCCCTTTGGTTACTATCTGTGATACCGCGGTTGTAAAATGGTATCTGGAATTTCTTATCAGTCACATGATTTTATCGAGTCCGGTAATTATAAAGCACCTGTGTGAAATCCGAGGTTTATTAATAAGAAGGTGGCGCTGTATCATATAAAACCTCTACCTTCAGAAAGAAGTCGTATGATGTAAAAAACTTGAAAAACGGACGAGAATTGTTCAACATACAACAGTTTAGCATGGAAAATTGTATTTAATTTAGCATATTTTTGCTTTTTACCGTTTGTTTTAAACTGTTCTAAAAGTATTTTCCGGTTAAAGCAGATCCCGAGTAAAACACTTAAATACCGATGAATTGATCAGGTTTCACATGATGTTTAACAAAATAATGTAGACAAATCTAGACATAGATTTTTTTACTGTTGAAATGTGCAAAGTTTATCGAGAAGTATTCTAAATTTATGTATATGTCATAAATGTAATCGATTACATTATTGAAACTGGACAGCTAAAATAGGGATAATATGTTCGTAAACATTTATTTTTTTAAGCAGTGTTTATTGTGGAATACTTGTATTAATATAACAAGCTACAGCAAAAATTAAAACAAACCGACAAAATGAGCTTGACGCTATCTGTCTTATGGCAAATTCATTTTTACACGAATTAGTTTATGTATCAAGAACTATAAATTAAAGGATAGAACCGTTTAGAATTGTGAATATTTTAATTGACTAATACACGAAAGACTTAGATTATTCGTATTTAATAAAAGGGGGTCCAAACGTATTTTTTGTACAATCATCTTCTTAACTTACGGAAATGGCTTTTTAACTGTCTGTAAATATTAAAATTGAAAATGACCCAGCCTTGTTCTCCAATTTCATATGTGATAGCTGTCAGTACTATTAAGATCGAACTAACCAGAAATAGGAAAATTGGACTAAAATAAAAATTGAACGAATGACTCTATTCGGCAGCGTACATCAACGGAATGTAACGACTGGACTATTCGGGTTACTTCGCACGTATATACGACAAAAACTTGTCTGTTCGTAGTTTTCCGAGAACACGAAAAAGACCGAAAAGTGTCAGTGATTTGATCGATCACATGCGGAGAATCAACTTCCATGCCAGATATTAAACCAATTAACGAGTTATCGAAAGATGGGCGGTAACGCAGATGAAACCTTTGAAGTGACGACGTTGTTATTCCTTTTAAATATTACTTCCATGATAAAACTGTTATGGAGTTTACACATAATTGATAAGTAAACTCATTTCACCCTAAAGGCGAAATTATATTACAGTATATATAAAATCAGTCTTTTGTGGTAATCATGATAATTGGCAAATCACAGGAGTGTGCATAATTAATTAAGATCTCTGTTTTGATAATAATTATAAAATGGTTAATCATACATGTCATCCCTTTAGACAACACAGTAATCAGTGACATGTTCAAAAATGTTAATTGGCGACATCTATTGAGTGTTGTCATAACCGGAACATTTTGCATATAATGTAAAAATAAGATCAAATAAATAACATTTCAACAACAATTTGCACAAATATGCTTTCAAAATGTCTGTTATACCAGCACAAAAATGATCAAAACCTCCATTGTTTACCATGCTGCAATGACCTTTAATTTAGACGATTACTGAAAGTTTGTAGTACACGTTTTTATTTGTAGTCGATTATCTGTCAGTCAAACAAGTTTATGTTGTTTACATCCTGAACAATACAATACGGTGATTTTTCGGATATATTTTCCCATTCGGCAAAAATTTTACACAGCGAAAATTTAATCTGCCTATTTTGTCATCAAATCGCAAAAAAAAGCCCAGATATACGGTATATGAAAGTGTCAATCATATTTCTGAGTGTTCTGGAATAACAATATCTTTTGTAATTTGAATTCATATTTTTTCCAATTGGTTTTGCATTGCCAACCCTGTGTTTAATATAACCCTATGATACAAAAGCATCATGATATATATCAGTTTATACAACAAATTCTTTTCCGAGATGGTTCAACTCACCTCCAATTTTGTAAAACTGATATAAAAAGAACAACTAATAAAACTAGATGTGTGGCTACATAAAATGGAAAAACTACTCCTTTGGTGAGCCTCTCAAATGTATCAAATGGCAGCCTGACAAAGGCATCAATACATAAATAAAGCTTGGAATCAAAATCTCTGAAAAGAAAAAATGTTAGGAAAGAAAATGTATAGACTATTTCATTTAAAAACAGTTTTTTATTTTATCATTTCTATGTAGAGGCTGACCTCAATCTGGCATGGAAGATTAGTCCCTCTACTATTCATTTAAAGTCAAATTGGTTGTTTCATTTACAGTTTGGCTGTAGAATATTTAAAAAATAAATTATCTTTCCAATTTGAAGGGTATTGTAAATTCATGTAAAGTTTTAACAAAAATTTTGTAATAGTAAAAATTGCTATTGGATAGGTTTGGCCAAAATAAAAACTTGTATTTTAAATTTTATAAAATTAGTTGTATGTATGAAGCATTTTCTGAAATCCAAATAATCAATTTTGCATTTTTGTCTATTGTTCAACAATTGCAACAAGTGAAACTGCTAGCTACTTACTGCTCACTGATGATACCCCCGCCGCAACTGGATGATTTTAATAGTGTAAAAATATGTAAGTGTTCGGTAAACAGGAAGTTGTTGAGTGATGAATCTGAAAACACATCACACGGTATAGCTGAAACCAAATTTCAGAAATCCTTATGATGTAGTTCCTGAGAAAGATGTGACGAAAAATATTCATGGGATGGATGGACCGATGGATGGATGGACCGATGGATGGACGGACGGATGGACAGACAGAGGTAAAACAGTATACCCCCACTTTTTTAAAGCGGGGGTATAATATTAATAATAAATATACACAAGAATTTCTAAATTTACAGTATATGACAATATCTAAACCACTATACATGTATAAACTGAAGTAAATATTGATATATGACAAGACACCTTCACAAAAAATTCATATTTTAACCATTAAAAATTTTCATAAGTCAAATTTAAAGAAGAATGACATTTGTACAATTCCATTCATAGATTTTTACCTCATAGTTGAACGCATTAAAGCTAGGTTTTGAAATCCAAGTGACACACACAGCTTAAATTGTTTGATATTCATTTTTACGATCGACTTTACTTCTTGATAAGTTTCAAAAAAACACTGGCAATTACATTAATTTCAGTATTCTAGTAATTAATTCAGACATAAATCGATAAAACAACTATTGGCAGAATAGACATCATGAACCCAAAATTCCAAAGATTTAAACAAAATATATACACAGTTATAAAATTACCTGGCATGGTCTATACTAAATTTACTGAGAATAAACTTAAATATATGTTCATCAGCTTCTATGTTTATGAGTATCTGAAATAAAAAATGCATTCTTTTGATAAAACAGATGAACTCAAAACATGCACATGCATACAAAAAATATAACAATTAATAAATGTCACAAATATCTCATATCAGTTTTAATTTGCATATATCTAATTACTTTATCATAACCAATTATTTCTTTTCTGAGAAAGAACAATAAATTTTTACTTTTTCAATCACTATTTATCAAATTTCCCTGAACATAACTAATCGCTTTTTACTACTTCGTTTATTTTTCTTATTTACCTTCTCATCAAATGTAAATTTTTAACCCAACCACCAGGAAGCAAAGTAACAAAGAATATTTATTGCTTAACCTTGTTATCATTCAATCAAAAATGTTTCCTTTTAAATGCTGGTACAATATATAGGGCTAACTAGATATCATTGAGATGGGAGCCATCTCTGTGAGCCCCGCTGTGAATAATGTGTGGTAAAAAAATTGTATCTTTATCATTGGACATGGGGTTGTCAACTGAAACCAAAGTTTTTGACCTTGACCTTTGACCTAGGAAGTTGTACATAAATTATGACACACCTTCTGGTGTATGTTTATATACATGTCAAGTATAAACTTTGAAATCATAACGGTTCTCAAGATATAGAGCAGACACGATCTTTACCATAAGACATGGGGTTGTCAACTAAAACCAAAGTTTTTGACCTTGACCTTTGACCTAGGAAGTTGTTCATACATTATGACACACCCTCTGGTGTTGGTTAATATACATGTCAAGTATAAACTTTGAAATCATAACGGTGCTCTAGATATAGAGCGGACACAATTTGTTACGGACGGACGGACGGACAGACTGATTACTATAGGGCGTCCGCCATTATACGGGGCCCTAATTAACTTACCTTGATAGCTGTGTTAAAAAGTAACATAAGAACTAAAACAGAAACACAGTAAAATACAGCTTTAAATAATCTAGATGGAATACTGCATGGCTGGAGTTCTTCCCCCTGGTAAAATAAAACATTGCTTCAAATAATTTAGATGCAAAAAGGGATGATTAGAGTTTTTCATGTATTGAAATAAAATACAGCTTTAATTCATCAAAATGAAATACTGCTTAAATTTAATTCCCTTCTCTTATAAAATTATATATATAAAAAAAAATTTAATTAACCTAGATGCAGCAGTGCATTGCTGGAGTTGTCTGCTGATAAGAAAAACATAATACAGCTTCAATTAATATCAATATGGAAAACTGACATGCTGGAATACTCTTGTTTAATAAAAATACAACACAGCTTTAATAATCTAGAGATACAAAGCTTTTTGTGTATTCAATTATATTTTTTTTCCATTTTGTCACACTTTTCTTGATGAATATTACTTATTCTGATTAAAATAAATGTCTTCTAAAATGTAATGAGGGAATATTTCAAAAACATCCTTCTCAAAACTAAAATTTGAATCCTCTCTATCAGCTTTAGATATTTTTAGCTCTATTAGATATTTTAGGAATGACAATTCTCTCAAATATAATGTACTTCTTGAATCAATATTTTTCTATAAGGTTACCTACTATTGTAATACACTATTTACAGATATAGAAAATTACATTTCATATAAGGATAAACTGACTTCTCTCTATGAACAGTGTATGTCTCCTGTGTGAAAGTGGTAGAATGTGTTTAAATCTTGAATAAAGTCTGGATCAATAGATATTTTAGTTCTAGATCAATTGTATTCTCTACAGAGGAGATATAGTGTGGATGTGCATGACTAAACATATCCATATAGAGTGTTAGAAATATTAAAACATATTTGAAATGGATTTGTTGCTTTTATTTACTTCTTATCATTGCTACAATATAAAATACCATAAGTTGTTACTTGTAAATGCAAAATATTAAGGTTTATGAGGCTATAACAATGGACTGCATATTTTCTAAACAAAATTTGGCCTTTATTGAAGTTTTATGAAGCAGAAACCTGTCCCAAGTCAGGAACCTGTAATTTTATGGTTCCTGTTGGCTGCTATTTGTCATCATTGTTTTTTCTTCATTTATTGTTTTTAGAAAGAATAAAAGAACAGAGTTCCAATGTCCCCCATGATGCACATATTTTGTCTGTTCAAGGGTAATAACTAAAAAAAAGTTTTTTTTTTCTTCTTTAAAACTTTTTAAAATTATCTTTGAGAGTTGAAGATTTGAGAGCAATTTCCGATATATTAAATATTTCCAAGGGCATAACTCATTTAAAATATTTCATCTGCACTTACTTTCACACTTGTCCGAGACATTGCTGTTATAAACCTTTGACATGAATTTGATTAAAATCTGGCAAAAATTGTACGTGAGAGCGCTTAACAATGCAAATTTCCAAATAATTTATATTTCTTAGGGGCATAACTCTTTTAAAAATAATTGATCGGCACTGATTTTCAACCTTATCTGACAACATTGTTGATATAAACCTATTATATAAGTTTCATAAAAATCTGGCAAGAACTGTACACATAAGAGCTAATAATGCAAATTTTCAGATAACTAATATTTCTAAGGGCATAACTCTTTTAAAAATGATTGATCGGCACTGATTATCGAACTTGTGCCAGACATTGCTCATATAAACCTACAATATAAGTTTCATAAACATCAGGCAAGAATTGTTCACATGAGAGCACTAACGATGCAATTTTCCATATAATTAATGTTTCCAAGGGGCGTAACTCTTTTTAATAAAATGCTCCGCAGGGCGCAGCTTGATACGACCGCAGAGGTCGAACCCTGAACAGTTGGGGCAAGTATGGACACTACATTCAAGCTTGATACAGCTTTGCATTTGGATTGTGATTAAATATTTGACACAGCATAGGTTTCTGACACAGAATGAATGTGGTCTAAGAACTTAAAAATTTTAAATTGGACATTCACCTTTTATGGTCCAATATCCAAAATCTAAATACATGGTTAGATTCAGCATATCAAAGAACCCCAAGAATTCAATTTTTGATGAAATCAAACAAAGTTTAATTTTGGACCCTTTAAACCTCAATGTGGAAAAAGTTGATAATGGGGCCCAAAAATCTAAATACATGGTTAGATTCAGCATATCAAAGAACCCCATATATTCAATTTTTGTTGAAATCAAACAGTTTTATTTTGGACCCCGATTTGGACCAACTTGAAAACTGGGCCCATAATCAAAAATCTAAATACATGTTTAGATTCAGCATATCAAAGAACCCTAAGAATTTAATTTTTGTTAAAATCAAACTAAGTTTAATTTTGGACCCTTTGGACCTTAATGTAGACCAATTTGAAAACGGAACCAAAAATTAAGAATCTAAATACACGGTTACATTCGGCATATCAAAGAACCCCAATAATTCAATTTTTGATGAAATCAAACAAAGAGTAATTTTGGACCCTTTGGACCTCAATGTGGACCAATTTAAAAACGGGGCCCAAAATCCAAAAACTAAATACACGGTTAGATTCAGCATATTAAAGAACCCCAAGAATTCAAGAATAAAACTCCATTGAAATTGGTCAAGAAATAAGCAATTTAAACGAAGTATCTTCTTTTGTACAATACTGTGCAATTAAATATTTCTTGCTATTGCGCAATACTGTACAATTGACAATTTCTTGCTATTGCGCAATATTGTGCTATTGGATATTTCTTGCTATTGCGCAATACTGTGCAATTGAAGATTTCTTGCTATTGCGCAATACTGTGCAATTGAAGATTTCTTGCTATTGTGCAATACTGTGCAATTGAAAATTTCTTGCTATTGCACAATACTTATTATATAATAATTTACACATCCTGTTTGGTGTGCAACTCCTACCATATCATTATTATTTGCTTTTAAATATAAATCAGAAATAACCAACTTAAAATGGAAAATTTTAAAAGAAAAAAAAAAGGAAAAAAAGAAAAAAAAGGAAAAAAAAAAAAAATCCCCCCCCCCCCAAATTTTTTGAACCCCCTTATGATTCATCACCCCCAAACTCAATCCCAGCCTTCCCTTTGTGGTATGGTACCTTGCAGTACAATTTCAGAGAGATCCATTCACTTGAACACAAGTTATTGTCTGGAAACTAGAAAAATGTGTATTTTGGCCCCTTTTTGGCCCCAAATTCCTAAACGTTTAGGGCAATTACCCCCAAACTCAAACCCAGCTTTCCCTTTGTGATATGGAACCTTGTAGTACAATTTCAGAAAGATCCATACACTTACACACAAGTTATTGTCCTGAAACTAGAAAAATGCTTGTTCTTTGCCCCTTTTTGGCCCCTAAATCCTAAAATATTGAAACAATTACCCCCATCATTAATCCCAGCCTTCCCTTTGTGGTATGGTACCTTGCAGTACAATTTCAGAGAGATCCATACACTTGAACACAAGTTATTGTCTGGAAACTAGAAAAATGCTTATTTTTGGCCCCTTTTTGGCTCCCAATTCCTAAACGTTTCGGCAATTACCCCCAAACTCAATTCCAGCTTTCCCTTTGTGATATGGAACCTTGTAGTACAATTTCAGAAAGATCCATACACTTACACACAAGTTATTGTCATGAAACTAGAAAAATGCTTGGTTTTTTGCCCCTTTTTTCGCCCCTAATTCCTAAAATTTTGAGGCAATTACCCCCAAAATCAATCCCAGCATTCCTTTTGTGATATGGAACCTTGTGGTACAATGTCAGAGAGATCCATACACTAACACAAGTTATGTCTGGAAGTTACAAAAATGCTTATTTTTGGCCCCTTTTTGGCCCCTAATTCCTTTACTCTTGGTACCATAACCCCCAAAATCAATCCCAACCTTCCTTTTGTGGTATTGAACCTTGTGGTAAAATTTGATAGAGATCCATTCACTTAAACTAAAATTAGAGTGCGAAAACCAATGTGTCTTCGGACGACGCCGGACGACGACGACTCGACGACGCCAACGTCATACCAATATACGACCACAAAAATTTTTTTGCGGTCGTATAAAAACAGTTGATTGGCACTGATTTTCTACTCGTCCGAGTCTTTGCTGATATAAATCTATGATACAAGTTTTATAAAAAGTCTGGCAAGAATGTACATTGAGAGTGCTAACAAGACCAGATGGAAGGAAGAATAGACGGAGAGACACCCAATATTTCTATGTCCCCCGTAACCCATCGTTTGGGGGACAGTCAGGCAGTTGGTTTTCTCTTTTAAATTGTTTCAAGTTTTGTAATGCTGGGACCATTTATAACTTATAAGGTTTGGGATTTGCTAATTGTTGAAGGACGTACAATGACCTTTAGTTGTTACATCGACGTCCTTTGGTCTGTGGTGGATAGTTGTCTCATTGGCAATAAAAAAACATCTGCTTATTTTTATATCTCTTATAAATAAATATTCCATAACTGTAAAATAAAACAGTTTTCTAATATGCTATTTAAGTTCTAAAAAATTTAAACATAATAAATCTTACCTTAAAATACATGAGTAATAATGAAGCAGGAATAAAACTCATGACTAATGACCCAAATATCATCAGGTTAATATACTGCATGATACTGGTTATTATCAACGAAGCAGCCTGGGCATAAAATACTACTCTAACCTTAAAAAAAATATATATAGATTATAAACAGCAACCCAACAAGATAAGTTCAACAAAAACAAATATTTCAGAGCTTACATTTGACATATGTAAATAATAAATATAAATCATATATAAATGCATTCACAAACTAGAGGCTCTAAAGAGCCTGTGTTGCTCGCTTAGGTCTATGTGCATCTTCAACAATGGACACTATCTAACATTGTGGACTAGAAGAGCATTCATGACAAAAATCTCTTTTTTTGTTGATCTGGTATTGCTGATAATTTTTTCCGTTAACACTTTCTCTCTATCTTCATAAGTTTTTGCCCCAAACACAAAAAAAGGTTAAAAAAAAACCTCATTTAAGGGTAATCACTCCTATAAAGAGCCTATTATTCATTTCAGCAAAATTTTCCTTATTTTTAGATCTTATCTATCTGTCTTTCATAGTTTTTAAGATAATAGGCACAAACAAAACAAAGTTGGTAAAATCATTATTCCAGAGCAAGAACTTGAATAAGGAGACGACCGACGATATCCACCATGCTGACTAATTTGTAGATCTTGTCTTTAACTAATCATTTACTAATGTACTGTGTATATATACATTTCAGGTATCAGTCATCCTTATAATTAAAGATATAAACCTAGGAAGATGTTGACTCTCACTTATGACTGATACTCAACTAACAGCTGAAACAAAGTGAATTATCATTATGCCAGTTTTACAGTGCCCTATAGACGGATGTGATTGGAAATCTCAGGACCTGGATGAAGTATTTGCAGCTGCTCTAACCACTGCTCTACAGATTCATGACAGAACCGTCCACACACCTCTGGCTCAACCAGCAACACACAAGTTAAAATTGGACCCACCTACTATAGCTGCAGGATGTGATCCAGATCAATGGTCGGCATTCACCAGACAGTGGAAAATGTATAAAACAGGGATGGCGATCACAGACAATGTCTTGCCCACAGCCCTTTTCTACTGCTGTGACACCAATCTCCGTACAGACATTATGAGTGACCTTCGAGGCGATGTCGCCAGTATGATAGAGACAGATCTTTTAAATGCTATCAAAAGGCTGGCCGTCAAAGAAGAAAGCACACTGGTCCAACGCATTAAATTGAACAGAATGACTCAATCACCTGGGTCAAATATCAGGACTTTTTTGGCCAGTCTCAGAGGCCAAGCATCACTCTGCCAGTATAAAGCCACGTGCAAAGAAATAGGTTGCAACCATATATTTGATTATAGTGATGAGATAATCAAGGACAATTTAGTCAGAGGTATTGCAGACCCAGAAATTATGTCTGACCTGCTAGGTGACTCCAAGACCAATAGAACACTAGAAGAGACTGTATCATTTATTGCTCAGAAAGAGCAGGGTAAAGTCACAAGGAGTGCAGTGGGAGATTCAGCTAGTGCCATGAGTGCTACATGTAATAATCAGAAACGACCCCAAGCAGCTGGAGCCAAATGTTGGGCATGTGGTGGTCCTGCTCATGGACAAAGGAATGATCACAAGGCCAGGTCTAGGTACTGTGAGGCTTGGACATTCACATGTGCTAAATGCACAGTTAAAGGTCATTACACCAAATCATGCAGCAAGTGCACTACCTGTGGAGTATGGGGCCACCGTGATGCATCTTCTAGAATCTGCGCTCAAGGTAAGGGCCACAGGAACCAGCCCAATCAAGGGAAATCAACCAAAGATTCAGACCAGGAACAAGTTGGTTATATCTATGAGCAGCTGTGCACCACATCTGAACAGACAAACCAAGCATCACGTCTTGAACATCACATATTTGATGGACATTGGGTGGCTCGACCTTCAAAACCCCACCCAATGCTTCTGGTGAACATGACACCCCTGCCTGAGGACCATGCATTGTTTGGGCATCCCATGCAAGACACCTCTAAGCTTAAGACAATCACTATGTCCATGGTGGCTGATACAGGGTGCCAAAGTTCAATCATACCTTTACAATCTGCAAACAACCTTGGAATAACAGAAAAGGATCTTCTTCCAGTCAAGCTTGTAATGCGTGGAGCTATAAAGGAAGACCTTGGTGTAATTGGAGCAGTCGCAGTAAGCGTTACAACAAAAGACAGTACTAGCAATGCCATGTCAACATGTTTATTGTGTTATGTCTCTGATACCATGGAAAGAGCTTTCATTTGCAGAGAAGCACTCATATCTCTGGGGATTATTCACACTAACTTTCCTAATGTGTCAACAGTTACATCTCCAAACATTGCTGCATCTATGGAAAACTCTGAAGAAGTAACCTGCTCATGTCCTAGACGTCGACCTTCACCACCACCTGTTCCCACAACTCTGCCTCCAGGTTTGAAGGCCACAGAGGAACACGTGGAGTCACTAAAAGGGTGGCTTCTTGATTACTATGGTGCTACAACATTTAATGTCTGTGAACATCAACCTTTACCGCTTATGAATTGTGAGCCTCTCCAACTCCATGTTGATCCTAATGCCACACCGGTAGCCGTCCACAAACCAGCACTTGTTCCAATCCATTGGCAGGATAAAGTTTATGCTGATCTGGAGAGGGATGTTCGCATTGGTGTACTGGAACGAGTAAGTCAAAACACACCTACAACTTGGTGCTCAAGGATGGTGGTAACCAGCAAGGCTGATGGCACTCCAAGGCGGACAGTAGACCTACAACCACAAAATCGACATTCCGTTCGGCAAACACATCATGTCCCAAGTCCCTTTCATCTGGCTGACCGCGTCCCTCAAGGCATGAAAAAAACAGTGACAGACGCTTTGAATGGGTACCACTCAGTGCCTATTCGTGAAGAAGATCGCCATTTCACGACATTCATCACACCATGGGGGCGCTACAGGTACAAGGTTGCTCCACAGGGATTCATGGCCAGCGGTGACGCTTACAATCAACGATTTGACGCTATAATATCAAATTTCAACGACAAGGTTAAATGCGTGGATGACACATGTATGTGGGCGAACTCCATTGAAGCAGCATTTTTTCAAGCATGTGATTGGCTCGACCTGTGTGCTCGTAACGGTATTACATTAAACCCAAAGAAGTTCCAATTTGCTCAAGACACTGTCAATTTTGCAGGACTAACAATCACCCAAACAAACATACGACCAAGTACCAAGTTCCTAGATGCAATTAGCAACTTCCCAACACCAACTGACATTACTGGTGCAAGAGCTTGGTTTGGGCTTATAAACCAAGGAGCATATGCATTTGCCATGGCAAGACAGATGAAACCTTTTCGTGCTCTATTGAAACCATCCACAACATTCTGCTGGACAAATGAATTAGATGAAGTATTTCACAAATCCAAAGAGATCATTATTCAGGAGATGAAGGAAGGTGTTCTTCTTTTTGACCCTGCTCGTATGACATGCCTAGCTACCGACTGGTCTGTTGACGGAATTGGGTTCTTCTTGATGCAGAAGTACTATCAGTGCTCAAGTAAAACCCCTACCTGCTGTAATGATGGTTGGAAATTATGTCTGGTTGGCAGCAGATTCACGCATCCAGCTGAAAGCAGGTATGCTCCTATCGAAGGTGAGGCCTTGGCTGTTGTGTACGCACTTCACCAAACACGCTACTATGTTCTTGGTTGCAAAGACCTTCTTGTTGCAACTGACCACAAGCCACTACTCCAGATTCTGAATGATCGATCACTAACAGACATCGACAAAAGACGACTCCTCAACCTCAAAGAGAAAACTTTAGGGTACAGGTTCACAATTATTCATGTACCAGGCAGAAAGAACCTTGGCCCAGATGCAGCGTCAAGGTATCCTGTTGGACCACCAGATAGTCTGAACTTACCTGGTGAAGCACCTGAACTTGATTCCCTCGTTAACATGACTGCTCATTATCATGATACACTCACCAGTATATGTCTACATACAGAGGATAATGATACAGCTAATGACACCTCCACAGTCGCTGCTGCCACTTGTGCCTTGAATGCTGTTATCACAGTTGTTACTTGGAGCATGGTCCGTGAGGCCACAGCATCAGACCCTACATTTGTAAATCTCATCAGACAGCTGGAGGTAGGGTTCCCAGAAGACTGCAAGGAGCTACCAACAGACTTGCGTCCTTACCATCGCTTTGCATCCAGTTTATGCACCGTGGATGGTGTAGTTCTTATGGGCCAACGAATTGTTATACCACCAGCTCTTCGCAAACCAGTACTCAATGCTCTACACGCAGCCCACCAAGGAGTCAGCGCTATGCGTGCAAGGGCCATGGACTCTGTGTATTGGCCTGATATCACAGTAGATATTACCCGGGTGAGAGATCAGTGTGTTCACTGCCATCAGATGGCCAAGTCAAACCCTATGCAGCCACCATCTGACATAACACCTCCAGATTATCCGTTCCAGATGATTTGCAGTGACTACTTCACATATAACAGTAATGACTATGTAGTTATTGTTGACAGGTATTCAAACTGGCCAATGGTATACAAGTCTGAATCAGGTGCAGAGGGACTTGTCAAGAGACTTCGTGAGACTTTCGTGACATTTGGCATCCCAGAAGAGTTGACGTCCGATGGAGGTCCACAGTTCACAGCAGGGAAGACTCAAGAGTTTTTAAAGGCCTGGGAGGTTCGTCATAGACTTTCATCAGTTGCAAACCCACACGCTAACTGCAGGGCTGAGATGGCGGTAAAAATAGTGAAACGCATGCTGGTGGACAACATCACTGCTATTGGATCGCTGGATGTTGATAAATTCCAGAGAGCTTTACTAATGTACAGAAATTCTATTGACCCTGAGACAAAAGCATCACCAGCATTGATTCTGTTTGGTCGACCCATTCGTGATGCAATTCCCATACTGATGGGTAGATACTCTCCTCACGAAACATGGACTGAGTTAATGTCTCATCGAGAGATGGCACTTGCCAAACGTCATTCGAGGGAACATGAACGGTGGAATGAACACACTCATCACCTGCCGACACTACAGGTTGGAGATCATGTGTACATACAAAACTTGGTAGGCAACCATCCCAGGAGATGGGAACGCACAGGAACAGTTGTTGAAGTACGCCAATACCACCAGTATGTTATACGTGTAGATGGCACAGGCCGAGTAACTATCCGCAACCGCCAGCACCTTCGAAAGTTCACTCCTTTTCAAACCAACCAAACACAAGGTACTTTGATTGCACCTACTACAGTTCAACATCAGGAAGTAATCTTGAACTCTCCAACTACATCCAAGACGACAGAGCCACAAGTGCCCAAGATTCCCTTGTCTTTATCACCATCAAGATTCTTAAGTCAACCAGCTGCATTGAATGAGACACCGATTACAGTCCCCACTCAAAAACCGGCAACTCAGACAATTCAACAGCCTCCACAAATAGATTTGGACCAGTCATACCACCACACCCCTGAACCAGATGTACCTGCTATGACTAGGATACCACGTGCTCTTTCCCGTCTTCAGCCACACAATAAAGCTGGGGAAAAGGAACTATTGACACCACGAAGACCGAGCCGCCGCTACATAACAGAACATAACATTGATGAATCAGGAACTGATTAATGAATTATATTTAGACATTAATAAGTGAATCTAGAGACTTTTTGTTTGAAATTGTGAAAGGACATCATGCATTTAATTTTGTTCGCGTCCAGAAGACTTAACAGAAAATTCCTGAAGATTTATTTTCTTATAGACTTGACTTTATTTGTTTAAGTTTTTTTCGTATCCTAAAAAACTTGTCCCCGGGGGAGGAGATAACTAATCATTTACTAATGTACTGTGTATATATACATTTCAGGTATCAGTCATCCTTATAATTAAAGATATAAACCTAGGAAGATGTTGACTCTCATTTAGTCTTGTTAATCAATTTTGCTATATAAAGTCTATCTATCTATTATAGTTTTCAAGGTAATAGGCAAAAACACTAAAAATCTTCATTAAAGAGCAATAACTCCAAAAAAGGAGTCAACTGATGATTTTTGCCATATTTGACTTATTTATAAATCTTGACTTTCTCATCATTTTTGCTTCTTTTAAGTTTCTATCTATCAATTATAGTTTTTAAGACATAAGGCAAAACACAAATAATTAGTTAAAACCATCATTAAAGGCCAATAACTCCAATAAGGAGTCATCTGACTATTTCAGTCATCTTGACTTGTCTTGCTGAACACTTTTGCTTATTTACGTTTCTATCTATCTATTATAGTTTTGGCGACATAAGGCAAAAACACAAAAAAATAGTAAAAAAATTACCATTAAAGGACAGTAACTCCAATAAGGAGCCATCTGACGATTACTGTCATGTCTGACTTATTTGTTGATCTTGTCTTGCTGATCACTTCTGCTATTTCAAGTTTCTCTCTATCTTTTTTAGTTTTCATAAAAGGCAAAAATGAAAAAAATTGGATAAAGGGCAATAACTCCTATAAGAAGTTGTCTGACAGTTTTGATGTAAATGTACAATAGGTAGACCTCAACATTCTGAACATTTCTGCCTTATCAGATTTTCTCTATTTATAACATTTTCAAGATAATAGACAAAAAGTTTGACCCTGTAGTTTCAGAGGCGATTTGTGTAAAAGTTAAAACGACAACAACGACGTACGACTAATGACAGATGCCAAGAAATGAGAAAAGATGAGCTTATCAGTGCTTAAACAATATAATTAGATTATTATAGATGTGCCCTGCATTCTTTCTGAATAATATAACAACTGTGATGTGTGTAGTTTCCATAAACTTGTGTGCTGGTCTAACTGATGTTTAATCCACAACTAGTAATATTCAAAGAAATACTGCTAAAGCACATTTAGCTTGCATTATATATAGATATAATACTTTTTGTAAGTCTATTTCAAAAGTAGGTTAATACATAACACACAAATATTCAGCTCAATATTTAAAGGAATACACCAAAAAGTGTATATCTACAATTTTCATTGGCTTTGTAAAAAGTCCACATGCTTATAAAGGATGAAAATACAACTATCTACCAAAAATTAGTTTTGTGTTTGGAAGCACAATAAAAAGTGTGTTTAGTATTTAAGATGATGGAAGGATGTAATCTATGTTTTATGCTTTATTCAACAGAAGGCAGACTGCAATGTACAAGTTCAGTCTATTAGTACATGTATACTAATAGATTCTACAACTGCATCGAGTGTGATATGATATTTCTTGAGTCAAGACATTTAAATTTTTCTATTTAAAATGTGAGGTTTAATGCGTTCTTTAAATGATTAGAAATAACTGTTGAGAGTGGAGAAATTTCGTATTGCATGAGATTTAGTTGTAAAATCTATTTCTCTAATGATTTTTAGACAATAAGTTGACACTTTTCATCCTTCAACGATTTTCTATGTGATATCATCAGGCATGGTCGCCTTTTTTTCATGACTTCACAATTAACAAGAAAATTTGCATCATAATTGAAATTTGACAAATGGAGAACTGAGACCACACAAACTACACGTTGATTTTTAAACAAGAGTGAACATGCTGAAATGTCTTGCCTGCTTTACTGACCATTGATTTAATGTGGATAGTCCTAAATATAAAGCTTTACTACAAGTATCAAATAACTTAACATGATCCAAGAAAATGAGGTCAAGGTCAGATAAACAAAACCGAAAATACATGTACACCTTACAAGCATTCCATACACCAAATATAGTTGACCTATTGCTTATAGTTTCTAAGAAACATTAACTTAACCAGGAAAACTTAACATTAACCAATGAACCATGAAAATGAGGTCAAGGTCAGATGAACCATACCAAACAGACAAGAACACCTTACAATTAATCTATGCATTAAATACAGTTGACCTATTGCTTATAGTATCTAAGAAACAAACTTAACCATGAATACTGAACATTGACCAATGAACCATGAAAATGAGGTCAAGGTCAGATGATACCTGCCAGAACCTGAGTGAGACATGATACACCTAACAATCATTCCATAAACCAAATAAAGTTGATCTATTGCTTATAGTATCTTAAGAAACAAACTTAACCATGAAAACTGAACATTGACCAATGAACCATGAAAATGAGGTCAAGGTCAGATGATACCTGCCAGAACCTGAGTGAGACATGATACACCTAACAATCATTCCATAAACCAAATAAAGTTGATCTATTGCTTATAGTATCTTAAGAAACAAACTTAACCATGAAAACTGAACATTGACCAATGAACCATGAAAATGAGGTCAAGGTCAGATGATACCTAAGAGACAGACGTATACACCTTACAATCATTCCATACACCAAATATAGTTGACCTATTGCTTATAGTTTAAGAAAAACCAAAAACTTAACACTGAGCAATGAACGTGAAAATGAGGTCAAGGTCAAATAAAACTAGCCAGACTGACATATAAATCGTAAAATATTTCCAAGCACCAAATATAGTTGGCCTATTGCATATAGTATTAGAAAAAAGACCAAAACACAAAAACTTAACTTTATCCAATGAACCATGAAAATAAGGCTAAGTTCAAATGACACCTGCTAGATGGACATGTACACCTTACAATCATTCCATACACCAAATATAGTATCTGATATATGGACTTGACCAGGAAAACTTAACCTTGTTCACTTATCCATGAAATGAGGTCGAGGTCAGATGAAAAAAGTCTGACAGGCATGAGGACCTCGCAAGATATGCACATACTAAATATAGTTATCCTATTACTCATTATTAGAGAGAAATAAACATTACAAAAAAAAGAAGTCGCAGGCTCGACAAAAATCAAACGGTTGAGAAAAGTATCAATCAGATAAGAATCAGAGAAAAATATATATGAATATTATTTAAGTATCTGCAGAAAATCAAGACAACTGATGCTTTCTAAATGGATAAAATTGTATACCACAGTTTCTTAGTGGTGAAAGCATGATCCAGCAGCTGAATACTGAAAAAAGATGAACTTTACCTTTCTTGGTGGAATCATATCCAGTACCCATACACCAAACAAGGCAAAAGCTTGTAACAGGAATATAAACTGATTAAACTGCCAAAACAAGGCAAACAGGAATGTACTGACGAATATTATCCATATACATAATTTCTGAAAAAAAGGAAAAATAAAATATTCATTATATTCACAGTAAATTCAGAAATTTTTATAAGTTTTTCTTATTGCAACAAGATAATGTCCCCAAAAATAACAATAGGGCACATGCTGAAATGTCTATCCTGCTTAACAGACCATTAACTATATGCTGAAAGTCTTAAAGATAAAGGTTTTACTACAATTATCACAAAAACTTAAAACTTTTGTATATCCATGACAATGAGGTCAAGGTCAGAAAAATCCTGCCAGACAAACATGTACACCAGACAAATATTCCATACACCAAATATAGCTAACCAATTGCTATAAGTATTTGAAAAACAGACCAAAACATAAAAACTTAATATTGACCAATGAACCATGAAAATGAGGTCAAGGTCATATGATACCTACCAGAAAGACACATACAGCTTACAATCATTCCATACACCACAAATAGTCGACCTATTGCTTATAGTACTTGAAAAACAGACCAACACACAAAAACTTCACATTGACCAATGACCCATGAAAATGAAGTCAAGGTCAGATGAAACCTAAAGGACTGACATGTTTATCTTACAATCATTACATACACCACATATAGTTCACCTGCTGCTTATAGTATTTGAGAAATGGACCTAGTCATGTAACTTTAACATTGATCAGTGATCCATAAAATGAGGTTGAGGTCAGGTAAACCCTGTCTGACAGACACGTAGACGTTGCAAGGAACCCATATACCAAATAAAGTTATCCTATTACTCATAATAAGTGAGAAATTTACATGACAAAGAAACTATAATCTTTTTTTTCAAGCAGTCACTGAACCATGAAAATGAGGTCTAGGACAAAGGACATATGACAGAGGGAAACTTCGTAACATAAGGTATATGCATACAAGGTATGAAGCATCCAGGTATTCAACCTTCTGAAATATAAAGCATTATACAAATAGTATGTGCCACCGCCACCAGATAATAATCCCTATGTCTCACATACTGTGACTTTTGTCTCAGGAAAACAAAAACTTGCATTTTAAATTTTGATAGCATTATTTGTTTGCAGCATTTCATGAAATCATAATTATTAATCTTGCATTTATGTCAATTATTCAACGATCAAATAATAAATGCCCGCAATAATTTCTGAATTTGCAGTATTTGAAGTTTGTTTAGTAATATCTGGTAGTTTGTTGTACCTGATTGTTCAATAGATTTTTGTTATGACATCATGCTACTTATCATGGTTATTACATTTAGTGATTGAAAATGCATGATAGCCAGAGAGTTAACCAATAAAAATGTGTGTGTGCTAGCCATTTAAACAGTGTCTTAAGTATTGAACGATAATATCTTTTGATGTTTAATTAATCAATCCTGTTTAAAACAATCAATCATCTCTTTGAATTAATAAAGCTTCTTTTTTTTTCAAGTTATCCAACTATTAATAACTTAATGAATGTTAAATATAACAATGATACATTACCAAAAATTGTGATTTGTCTACTAAATGAATCATTTAATTGACAATAAATTTGGAGATAAATGTTTCTCACCTTAAAAATTTCTCATAGTATGAGATCTCCCCATTCAGAAAAACTTGACAAAAATATACTTGATATGACTTTGTATAAAACAGGTTATTTTTATGACTTGACACCCCACCAAGGCTTACCAAATTTGATCATACCTCCTTCACAAGTGTGAGATTGGGTCTAAAGAAAAATGAAATCGCTGCAATCTGTACCCATAGAAATGGCAGTGAAAAACTCTCTCTTAATGGTACCACATACTCCACTCTTGTTGTATCTACTCTGAAATGTTGTAATTCAATGAATATTGCAGATATGATATACAAATTATTATTATCATTAATACTATATCTTTCATAAAAAAAAATCTTTTTTTTTTGCTTATTTATGGTGTTATTTTACACATTTACATGTAAATTTTATATTTCATTTATTCTACATTTAATGTATTGATCAGATGCCTTAGTACATATGCTCATTCACTATCATATAAAACAAGGGAAGTCAGTAATGCATAATTTTCAATTTTTGAATAAAAGAATTTCCCATTATGACATAATCCTGAAGCAAATATCTCCATTATCTTGCCTATTTTCTTTAACAATTACAAGCAATAATGTAATTATCCTTGATAATGTCTTACAGCATCATTGGATTGTCATTGTTTATTTATGATATTCGGTTTCTGTTGTAGTGTTCCAATATAGTCAGTCTCTTTAGAATTATACCTTTTATTAGTATTTGTGTTAGTGGGTACTGCCTCATTGACATATACCCTATATCTCCATTTGTTCACACTTTTTATAACAGAAAAATTAACTGTACTGCACAATATTGTAAAAGTTATGTTCAAATAATAAAAAATTGATGAATAACAATCAGTTCAGAATTAGGCAGAATAGGCCAAACATTTATAACAAACAAGAAATCAAAATGGTCATCACTTTATTTTACTGAATCAAAGAATATGATAAATAACTTGAAAACTCTAATAGTTGATATGGGAGTCATGGACTGATAACAAACACATATGTAATACATTTTAGACAGGGCAATAAGGAGCAGAAAGGAACATGATTGTCTTCTCTGTTTATTTGCCTTACATGGTGGCTGTCTCCTTGACATAGACCCCATATATCCATTTATTCATATTGTCAATTACAGAAAAAATAATTGTACTGCATCACAATGTAAAAGTTATGTTATAAAAAAAACACTAAATGGTATGATACAGCCTAAATCTGAAAAAGCTAAAACTTTAATTCACAGTATATAGTTTTCCTGATACTTACTTGTTAAAAATGTAGAAACAAGCAGCAAGTATGCCCGCCAACCAAGATCCACTCAGCATCCATGATGTGGCAAATAAGGCCCATATTAACATGGCATGGAGTCCCCATACTGAATTCAGGTAAAAGTAAACAGGTTCTACCCAACTCTACAACATACAAATAGTTTTACAAAATGTAGAAGATATTTCAAGGAGTCCAAACTGACCTAATCACAAATTTAAACAAATTGTTGACATAGCCATTGCCGGAAACAGCATACTTTAGTCTGGCTTTTGAGATGATTGTTGCAGGTGAGACAAAAACCTGATCCCTTATATTGACAAATGTTAAAGACAAAAGGAGTGATCATAATAATAAACATTGTTGCATTCATTAAATTAATGTTGATTTAAACAAGGGGAAGAGAAAAAGGCAGGAAAGAAAAATATATGGTTTACACGATTAAAGTAATAATACAATACCCATTTAAACATAAACTGTTTACCTTAATAGGAAGTATTCTGTACATAATACTGAGTATAACCTCTTGGTAAATGTTCATTCTTTCTAGAATATTAATGGTATCTGGGTGTTCTGTTACATTATCATGTGTGATTTGATGTAAACCTGAAATAATAAAAGTAGGTCACAATGATACAGTTTTACATATAATGTAAAAGCAAGGGTCCTGAAGTTATATAAATGATATATAACTCATTTCAAAATTAGCATGAACTGAAATGATTGTTTAATACTTCACTGTTCACTGTGTATAATATTGCAATATTATCGAATTAAAAATGTCTTATAACTATGAACTCTTACAAACCAGTTCTCTCTAATCAAAAATATAATACTCTAGACAATGAATGTTATGTTACAATTTAATGTGTTATATGTAAGAAATTAGAGGGGAAAAATTGTAACCTGGAAACTTTTCTGAAGTCTTATTTTTATGAAATGGATCTTCTTACTTACTTCTTTGGATGAAGTTGTGATGTAAACATGATGTCATAATTTTGTTTATTTGTTTTAAATTCTTATTGCAGTGCTTGAAAACTTAAAAACATACCATCAGTTATTGAAGGAGCTAACACCATTGTCTTGTAGTAGGAATAGTATAGTCCTGATTCTGTACGGAAAGAAATCTCTCTTTCGACCTCCTGAAAAATTAAAATGAAAATATTGTAGAGAAATAGTAGAAATTCCATTGATTAATGGCTTCTTTCAGAGATAAATCTTCATGAACCAATAAATAAATATACTATGGCTTCTTGTAAAGATACATCTTCTGGAACCAATAACCAAATCTTCAATGGCTTCTCACTTCAACTGTGTATAAGATCTTAAGTTTGTAGTCTTTAAAGTTTATACATCATTAATGAAATGTTTAACTTGTATAATATTGTCAAAATGGACCACATGTATTGGTGGGCATGAACCCCTCTTTTTCTTTTCTACTTAGTTTCAGCGGTGAAGAAATATTCCATCTGATTTATATTGTTCTTGGTCTTATCCATACAATCTTACAATAACAGCAGTAACTGTTTCCCCTCTTTAACACCGTAAAGGAACAAAAATTGTGTTTGTGTGTAGTGGGAGGAGGTCCATACCCCAATCACCTGCAAAATAGACAACTTATAAATGAATATTAAAGTACATCCTAAATAATTCCCACACAAATAATTTCACAGAACTCATAATCAACAAAATCTAAATTGTATAAGATTAATTCCCAAAGGAGTCTGCAACCTTTTACTTGTCTACTTGTATATACAGCTATCAATACCATTCTCATATTCTTGTTTGTTGGATCTTAACAAAATCTACACTTTACGATTGTAACGTCACATACTGATAGAACAATAGCCCTCTAAAACTAATTTTTACTGTTATTAATAAAATATATGAAACTGTGACAGTAGCCCTCTATCAAAAGTTTTCAAAATTAGTCCTGTTAAAACCAGACCATATTTCAAGTTGTTTTGTTGAAAATACTAAAGGTACTTTTTTAACTGTAATTTAAATAAAATATATGAAACTTAACAAGAATTTTGATCATTTATGGACAAACAATGTCATTCTTTTCCTCTCTGACTCACCATATTTTACGACAAAAGCATCAATTGAACTAAAGCAGAAATCCATAGAAAGACATAGCTTTGAGTGTGCAGCAGCTAGCTTTTCCTGATTAACATTCAACAAGTGCACTGAAGCCCAAAAGTTAAAGATATAAAAAGAAATAAAAAGGAACATAAAAATCTTATCCAAATAATTAAAGTCTCATATATTTTACAATATTTTCTGTATTGGCTGTACACATCCCTACTAGTCCATAGGCTATTTACTTTTAAAGAAAACCATTTGTATAAAAATAACATCCTTGTCTATTGTTCACTATGGCATTGTGTTGGTAGCACAGTAAATAATGAATTAAGATTTTATTTCAGAAGACAGATACAAGCATGTCCAGTGTTACAAAACATTATGAATACAAGGAGATATGTGCCAATCAGACAGCAACCCAATCGAAAAAAGCAACTAATAGACATGAAAAGGTCACTGTTCAGCCTTCATCAACTGACAGGTGTCTATACAATATGTCAAGCTCTAAAGTATTTGGAGTCTAAAAGAAGCTGTCAATAGATTTAATACTTTCAAAAAATTACCATAAATACTGTATTCTCAAAATTACCAAAAACATTTTAAGATATGACAGAAAAACAAATTGCGATGTTCCTAACTTGGAACCATAATTCTCTAAGAAATTACGAAAGCTAGTTGCACGTATACTGATGTAATGTAGGCATTTTACTGAAAATATTTCAGTTTTTAAAGGGTATTTATTATTCTATTAGGTAATGTCCATTCTAGGACATTTGTAATCTTGAATGGAACATGAAATATTTGACATTGTATAGACCTGTCAATTGATGAAGAGTGTAATATCTTAATCCCATTCATGAATCATATACTGTCTGTGTATCTCATTTTATGATACAGATTCTACAATATTTACAACCTAAATGTTACAATCCTAAAATAATTATTGTCAGTTTGTCAGTCATTTTAAGTTGTCCAACAAGTTGTACCACAAGATAATATACACAGACAGGAAAGTCAACATTGAACAATTATCAATATCTTAGACATATCTAACAATAGAACATTTACATCCATAGCATATCATTTTGATAAATATCTCTTTGCAATATAACTATGCACAGTCTATTTAGCCAGACATTTATATCAGAATTACATAGAATGGTCTATCAATGTGATGCAAAAATAAATGTAAAAGACCGCAAGAAAAGTTCAGGAAATCTATTTACAAAGTGTCAAATTTGTCGGGAGATTGGAAATTCTGTCTGACTTGTGGACTAAATGATTGCTTGTCATAAGATAAATCAGCTGTCTAGAATGTCTTAAGAATGATTACTTATTGTTCCGACAGATGACAGAAAGTAATGTCAACTTTTCAATTCAGCTGGACAAAAGCAGAGATAGCTGTAAGCGACAAAGTATAATTGTATTTGTTTTAATATAATATAAAGATAGGAATACTAAATTCACAGTTCTTCAATAATATGTCAACTTAATTTTAAAACCTGATTGTTTAAACTTTATTAAAAAAAGCTGCCCATATTCCAACATAGTTGATACATGTAAGAGAAATAAAAAACATAATAATTTATAAAATGTTTTGAGCTATAAGAATTGCTGATATAGTTTACTAGTAGTATACTGATTGACAAAATAATGTTGTTAAAAAGATCTTATTTTTTATTCATAATTGTGATTTACTTGTTGATGTGATAAAACATACAGCAATCATTGCCATGATGTGACAGAAAGTGTAAGAAAATGAGTTCTGTTAAATGATCCTTTCAAGAATCAAAGATTACATTTAGTTCAAAGTACAATTTAAAAGTTAGCTGCTTCCTGCCTTAACAAGGATTTTCAAAATTTGTTGTCACAATTTCTATTTTTAGAAAAAGATGGTTATGGTTATCAATCTTTAATTTTTTGTATGGAAACATCAGTGTAAATAGGGGAACCAATGGACTTATTAATCAATACTATAACATATTCACTGGGTTTTTCGACTAATTTTCTATTTTCAGCAAATATTGCAGATCAATATATCAACCACAAAGGAGTAAGTTTTATAAGGCCCTAAAATGGCCCCTTTTTCAAGCTACAATTTCAAATCAGGATTTAGTGACCAATATCACAATGAATCATAGCCAATACAATGGCTAGATAGGAAATATGTTTTTTGTTGAAAATTACGTACTTGCATTTTATTCATGACGTCACAAATAGCACTCAATTTGACTTTCCATGTAATTAAATGAAAACTGGTAAATTTCCATTGATTTTTAAGACAGGAAACATAGAGCACATGCATTGACAAAAAAGATCATTTCACATAATGTTTGTTATATCATTTTACATATCTGACTTTAAATATTTAGTTTGTCGATGCCTAAATTCTATGTTTCCTAGGTCTTCATTTGGTAGAAATCCACACAACTTTGTAAAAATTTGTAAAAATCTCTATTTTTGGCCTAATTTGGATGTTAAAATCAACGCTTTAAAATAAAACTTGGACAAAAACAGTTCTTTGTATCTTTCTCACATGTCTTTTCATCATCTTAGAACATTTTTTATCTTAAAACATTGAACTTAACAATCGGGGCCCTTACCGAACTCACCCCTTTGGACACTTCTATCATTTCTCTTGTTTTGCAGCAATCAGATACATTTTTTTATTGGATTTTGTTGTATTTTTAGTGACAGCAACATCCATGTTTGATGATGGTAAAGAAGATTATCAGAAATTACAGTATTTTTTCTTGTTTTCTGAAATTTTTTTGTATCACTGTTCTGATTAAAGCTAATTTACTTTCCATACAAGACTAGAAAAAAATACCCAAATCTTGGAACAATTAATCCTCCTTTACGAATGTAAAAATTTATTGCCATGTTGCACTCAGTAAGAAATATTTAGTCATATTTCAAAAGAAAAAAATCACAAAAGGAAAAAATCTGATTTCTGTATGCACAACAACTGTTTCTGGTACAGCCTTCACCAGGTATGCTCTTTACCAAAAGTTTAGAAGGCCAAAACATAAAATTTTAAAGCCACAACAGTCTAATATGTCTCAGAACAAATTTTCCTGAAGAAGTTTCAACCTTAGTTTTACCTCAATTTCATCATTTTATGAACTGAAATTTTACTAATAATTATGCCAATACTGAAGCACTAGCTCCTGGACAGATACTATCCTCTGGGATTGATAGTACAACCTTTATTTAAATACTGAATTTGATTAATATAGAAAAATTCAGATTATTTCTCTCAGCCTAATGCAGAAGTACAAGGGAATATTGACACAACGAAGTCATTAATGTGTCCCTGCATTAGATACAAAAGAAAAATCTGCAATAACTTTTGAATTACTCACGACAAAATCAATGGGGAAGCATTAATTTAAATCACTTTTTCTACAGCTGTTGTTTATTCAAGAAACAATTTACAGTGGATCAAGGTTTCATTTTAGCAAAATGTATAATGTATTCCAAGAATGTAGATTGTCCTGAGCTCTAACTATTTCCTACAGGATATCCCATATGCCAAAATTGTATTCCTTCACTAGAACATTCTTATGGTCAATGAATAGCTAAAAAAACAATTACCAAAGAAACATGCATAGTCACAGTTTCATATATTTTATAAAAGTTACTAGCTGTCAGTAACTGTGAGTACTCTCAGATCTGTACTTAGTGTGTTTCTTGTTATCGGAGAGGGATGGATAAATACCTGCCACGAATGGTCTGTGTTTTTGTTAGATGTTTTTCTGCTTTATATCAATCTGATGAGTTAAGCCTTTATCAACTGATTTTTTATAGTTTGTTCTTGTGTTGTGCTGTAACATCACTGTCCCAGGTTAGGGGAGGGTTGAGTGCTCACGAACATGTTTAATCCCGCCACATTCTTTAAGTACCTGTCCGAAGTCAGGAGCCTGTAATTCAGTGGTTGTCGTTGGTTCATGTCTATCATATTTGTTTTTCATAAACTGTTTTGTTATAAATTAGGCCGGTACTTTTCTCAATTGAATTGATTCATATTTTTCATGTCGGGGCCTTTTATAGACGACTATGCTGTATGGGTTTTTCTCAATGTTGAAGGCCGTACGGTTGCCTATAATCGCTAACATCCACTTCATTTGCACTTTGGTGGAGAGTTGTCTCATTGGCAATTATACAACATCTTCTTATTTTTATAAGGTGTAAACCTTTTAACCACATATTTTTTTTTGCAGTTGATATATATGTTAGATTTTGATTAACTTGTTGGGTTGCTGTTTCATGGGCATTTACCTTACACATCCTTTTACTCCTACAAATTCAGTTGATTTATCATTATCAATGAATATTTCTCTTTATGGATTCATCAGTTGAGCCATATCACAACTTCATGTACTCATTAACATGAACAAATATCAAAATGAGATATTAAATAACATCTGTTAGTTAAAATCCTAATTATTATTCTGGAGCACCTGAGACCATTCCCGGTTTTTGGTGGGGTTCATGTTGCTCAGTGTTTGGTTTTCTATGTTGTGTTTTGTGTACTGTTGTTTTCCCATTTTTCATTTTTTGCCATGACATTGTCAGTTTGTTTTTCGACTTATGAGTTTGAATATCCCTTTATTATCTTTGGCCTCTCTTTTACCAATGAAATTAAAAGTATTCAAAGGAAAAGTAGTTTTGTCGAGTTTTGTTATGTTTGTAAACATTTTATGCAGTGTCCCAAAATTGCTTCCTTTGTACATCTTTATACAATAATAATGGTAAGGTATTATAGCACATTTAGTATAAATATCAGACATTTTTATATAATTTCTATTAAAACTCTATAAGAACTTTCATCATCAAAACTAACATAAAACAAAGACATTTCAGATAAGCTTTAACTTGACATTATAAAATTCAGATTACCTCTTAAACAGCAATATAAAAATTGTAATAAAAATAACAAATGAAACCTGACTCATTCTAAATAAATTCTTGTTTTTCATCTCCTCCTAAAATGCAATGATTCAGACAATGATCATACAAAACATGTTTCTTCTCAGAAAACAAATTAAGCAGAAACCTTTAATCCTCAAATGATAACTGCACATTAGTGATATTTGAATCTCCATAATTCACTCTTGAGTTCTGTAGCTCTCCTGGAAATCCTTTGTTCCTATCAATTAAGGTTTATATGGAATGAAATGTCATAGAAGGATGTCTATTGATCTAACTCAACAACCTTTGAAACTTTAAAATGATAAATTTAAACAACTTAATTAAACACCATGAGATTAAAATTGGATGAGAATAGTTTCCACAATGTAATTTCAGTCCAATATTGAATTGGTTTTTAATGTACTTGTTACAACTCTAAGATTGATAACTCTCTTACCATTCATTTCTTAGTGAAAACAAGATTGATTTACCAAAGCAAAATTGATGGCAACAAACCTACCAAGGAAGAGACCTCTCTGTCAAATGGGCAACAACACCTGATGGCAAACAAACCTACCAAGGAAGAGACCTCTCTGTCAAATGGGCAACAACACCTGATGGTAAACAAACCTACCAAGGAAGAGACCTCTTTGTCAAATGGGTAACAACACCTGATGGCAAACAAACCTACCAAGGAAGAGACCTCTCTGTCAAATGGGCAACAACACCTGATGGTAAACAAACCTACCAAGGAAGAGACCTCTCTGTCAAATGGGCAACAACACCTGATGGTAAACAAACTTACCAAGGAAGAGACCTCTCTGTCAAATGGGCAACAAAACCTGATGGCAAACAAACCTACCAAGGAAGAGACCTCTCTGTCAAATGGGCAACAACACCTGATGGTAAACAAACTTACCAAGGAAGAGACCTCTCTGTCAAATGGGCAACAACACCTGATGGTAAACAAACCTACCAAGGAAGAGACCTCTCTGTCAAATGGGTAACAACACCTGATGGCAAACAAACCTACCAAGGAAGAGACCTCTCTGTCAAATGGGCAACAACACCTGATGGCAAACAAACGTACCAAGGAAGAGACCTCTCTGTCAAATGGGCAACAACACCTGATGGTAAACAAACCTACCAAGGAAGAGACCTCTCTGTCAAATGGGCAATAACACCTGATGGCAAACAAACCTACCAAGGAAGAGACCTCTCTGTCAAATTGGCAACAACACCTGATGGTAAACAAACCTACCAAGGAAGAGACCTCTCTGTCAAATTGGCAACAACACCTGATGGTAAACAAACCTACCAAGGAAGAGACCTCTCTGTCAAATTGCAACAACACCTGATGGTAAACAAACCTACCAAGGAAGAGACCTCTCTGTCAAATTGGCAACAACACCTGATGGTAAACAAACCTACCAAGGAAGAGACCTCTCTGTCAAATGAGCAACAACACCTGATGGTAAACAAACCTACCAAGGAAGAGACCTCTCTGTCAAATTGGCGACAACACCTGATGGTAAACAAACCTACCAAGGAAGAGACCTCTCTGTCAAATAGTGTCAGACAAGTTGCATTCCCAAAGTATGATTGTGGTACAGAAGTAAAAAAAAGGTCAAATTCTCTTAATTCCTGTAAAATGATCAAATCAATTGTATAAAACTGTCAATATGATGGCAAACAATCCAGCCTAGTATGAAAGCTTTCTGTCCAAAGGTCTCAAACCATTTGCGTTCACAAAATGTACTTGTGGTACAAAAGTGTAATAAATTGTTCAAAGTCTCAAATGGCTGGATTGCGATAATTTGCGACTAATCAATGTAGAATGTTTACAATGTAGTTGCAATTACATGGACGTTGCGCACGATGTTGGTACCAATTCCATTTTGCTATAGATTAGCATAAAAATAAATACGTAGACTGGTCAGTTCGATAAAAATATAGTGATTTCTGATTGAATTCATTCCATTAGACTTGAAATTAAAGAAAAAAAGGAACCGAAATTTAAAATACCAGGAATTATAACACTTAATTATCCCATTTTTACGCAAAAACGTAATGTACAACGTTTCATTTTGTGTGCAAAAGATCAGAGTTCCGTTTCTCTCCTACAGTATTTTTTCTCTGATTATTGTAAAACTTCACAATAATATTGCTATTGTTATAATTATTCGCGTGTTAAAGCAAAATCAATATCACTGAAACCGTAATCCGGAAAATGTTATTTTTGTAAACGGTCTGAAAAATGTCCAACCGTATGCAAAGTAAGTATATTTCGGGTTTGCGCATTTATACCGTGAAATTGAAAAAGCTGAGAGAAAAATATTTATTATATTTTGAAAGTTTTTTTACTTTTCTCCTGGTTCATGATATTTTTTTGCCGGAAACCATGCGTATAGTTTCTATTGCAATGACTTCAAAAAGTATAGCCATCTTGTCCCAACGAAAAAAACGCTGTATTTTCTTTAAAATTGAGGTTTTAACCAGCTGTCTATCAAATAAGCATAGTTAGATCATAAAAAATAAAACTTGGCGGTAAAGGTTTTTCTGTTTTTCTTCTTAAACAATATAGTGTTTAATATTTTTTCGTTAGGCAACAAGGTTTTTAGATCGTTTCAAAAAGTATAGCCGTTTTGTCCCAACGTTCGCAAAACGTAATTGATGTCATGCTCTGGTTTTTAATTTTATATCGTAATTATTTGTTTCCAGTTTAATTCGAATGAAAATAAAAATACATGTAGAAATTACAATACAACCAATGTATGAGAAAGGAATAGTTTAAGTTTAAATTCAAATGTTGACCAAATGAGATCGATATAAAAAAAATATCGGGATCTTAGGGTTTTTTTTATAGCATATTTGTTTTATATAAGGAACATTGTCTATCTGCAAGTTTTAAATCGTCAAGAGTAACATGTATATTTTTTTGTTAATAAAATAAAATAGAGAAAACCCATTGCTGGCAATTATAACAAACAAAGGATATGCCACAAAAATACGGAAATGAGAAAATTTAAAACATGAGTCCCAAATGTTTAACTTCCTAAATATTTTGCGACAAAGAAAGCATCGGGAAATGATAAAATATAGAAAGGAAACGGAAACGGGAAGAAATGCAACAAAAGGAATAAATATGCAAAAAATAGGAGAATATGAATTCAAAATCTAATTTATATTAAAAATAAATCTGTGTAAATTTGGACATTATTGTATCGGATTCATTAATGCGAACTGCTGCCGAAAGGAAAATTATCAATTATGGCCTGGAAAGACTGACAACTCCTGTAAATGAATTTCATTAAAAAAATATCTATACGACCACTTTGAGTTTTATTTGTAAATTTATGCATTTTTTCAGACAAACCGAAATCGATTACCAAATTCACAACAGTAAATTGACATCATCAATAATATGCTTGAACGCCTGAAACTTTCTTTGAAATCGTCGAAATCGCCTTATTTTGAGGAACATCGTGAAACGCTAAGTAGTACCAACATCGTGCGCAATGTCATGATGCTTGTAAAGTTTGATGGAAAATAAGTTTTCAAGTTAGGAAAAATGTGAAAAAACAATTCCGTAATAGCAAGTGTACAACTTCAACATTTGTACAATCTTTCTGTGAAGTCATAGGGATCTTGGTTGAAAACTTGTTCCCTCTTTAATAAATTTTATTCAAAAGTGACTAGGTTCAAAAGTCTGAAAAAATGAGAAAAAAATCCTCAAACAATTCAATAGCAGGTCCACAACTTCAACATCTGTGCAATTTTCTTGTGAATTTTCATCATGTGTGTTCTCTAAATATTTCAACATAGACAGGATCATCAGACAATTTTTTTTTAAATAGATAAACCAATGATGATGACTGGCCAAGTTACAGTGGATTCAGTGGGGAATAATTTTGTAAAACTTAAAGGTTGATGAGGGATGATGGACACCATGTGTGTCATTTAAATATTTCAAAACAGACAAGTAGACAATGTCATCATGTGTGCCATCTAAATATTTCAACATAGGCAAGTAGGCTAAGTACTGTAAATTCAGAAATTATTGCGTGCATTTATTATTGCAATTTTTGAAGAATGGTCAAAAATGTGAGATTAATTATTGCGATTTCAGGATAAACTGCATTCAGATATATCGATCAGATATCAGAATGCGAGTTCTTATTATTGGGATACTCACTCAGTCGCATTATTCGCATTAATAAAAACCTCGCAATAATTTCTGAATTTACAGTAATCATGTTTGTCATCTTAATATTTCAACAAAGACAAGTAGGCAATGTCATCATGTGCACCATCTAGATATTTCAGCTAAATCATCATGTTTTTATCTAAATATTTCAAAACAGACAAGTAGGCAATGTCATCATATGTGCCATCTAAATATTTCAACATAGATAAGTAGGTGATATCATCATGTGTGCTATCTTAATATTTCAACATAGACAAGCAGGCAAAGTCCTCATGTGTGCCATCTAAATATTTCAACATAGACAAGTAGGCAATGTCATCATGTGTGCCATCTAAATATTTCAACATAGGCAAGTAGGCTAAGTAATCATGTTTGTCATCTTAACATTTCAACAAAGACAAGTAGGCAATTTCATCATGTGCACCATCTAGATATTTCAGCTAAATCATCAAGTTTTTATCTAAATATTTCAAAACAGACAAGTAGGCAATGTCATCATATGTGCCATCTAAATATTTCAACATAGATAAGTAGGCGATATCATCATGTACGCTATCTTAATATTTCAACATAGACAAGCAGGCAAAGTCATCATGTGTGCCATCTAAATATTTCAACATAGACAAGTAGGCGATATCATCATGTACGCTATCTAAATATTTCAACATAGGCAAGCAGGCAAAGTCATCATGTGTGTCATCTAAATATTTCAACATAGGCAAGCAGGCAAAGTCATCATGTATGCCATCTAAATATTTCAACATAGACAAGTAGGCAATATCATCATGTATGCTATCTTAATATTTCAACATAGGCAAGCAGGCAAAGTCATCATATGTGTTATCTAAATATTTCAACATAGAGCAGGCAAAGTCATCATATGTGTTATCTAAATATTTCAACATAGGCAAGCAGGCAAGTCATCTTGTGTGTCTTCTAAATATTTCATCATAGAGCAGGCAAAGTTATCATATGTGTTATCTAAATATTTCAACATAGAGCAGGTAAAGTCATCATATGTGTTATCTAAATATTTCAACATAGGCAAGCAGCCAAAGTCATCATGTGTGTCATCTAAATATTTCAACACAGAGCAGGCCAAATCATCATGTGTGTCTTCTAAATATTTCAACATAGGCAAGCAGGCAAAGTCATCATGTGTGTCATACAAATATTTCAACATAGACAAGCAGGCAAAATTATCAAGTGTGTCCTCTAAATAATTCAAAACTCTATAAAGTTGGACATTTTCGTTCTAGGTTTAATTTTGATTATAGGGAGGGGGCAGGAGGATTTTGTAAATGAATATTTGGCCTGGTAAGAACTGTAATAAGATGCTATAAAGAGCCTGAATTGCTCACCTTGAACTATGAACAATGGCCACTCTCCAAATTTAAAGACTGAAATATAATTTATGACTAAGATCTCTTTTTTGTTGGGTTTTTTTTCCTGATTTTTTTTTTCTTCATTTTCTCTCTTTCTACTAAAGTGTTTGCCTAAAATACCAAAAAAATAGTAAAATTGTCTATCAATGGCAATAACTTCTATAAAAAGTGGAAACTGCAGTTTCCACATTGTTTACCTATTTGAATATCTTGTCTAGCTGATCAGTTTTGCAGTTTATAGTTTCTCTTTTAATAATCTTGAATAGTTTTTGACCAACACATTAAAAAGGGAAAAAACTCCTATAACGACTCAAATTATAGTTCCGGCAGTATTGAATCATTTGTAGATCTTGTCTTGCATCATTTTTGCTATCTAAGGGCAATAAATCCTGTAAGATGTCGTTTGGGCAATAAATCTTGTAAGAAGTCGTTATAGTTAAAATGGATAGTAGGTAGATCACAACATTGGGAACATTTCTGTCCCGTCAGATTTCCTCTATCTATAGCAGTTTTCAAGACAATAGACAAAGCTGGCATTTTACAGCCATGTTGGTTGATAGGCAGGATCATCAAACAATTTTTTTATTAAAGAACCTTAGTGAGCGCGCTCACATACCCCACGTCCCCACATTGTCATTGGAGAAATAAAATATGTGTAAGGAAAAAGAAATGTATAAGAAAAAAAAATTGAATCATAATTTCCTGTCAATATGCACATCGAGATAGTATGTCCTTATTATCTACAAAGTTTCATGAAATTATGTTGTGTGGTTTCAGAGGAGCTGCGATGACAAACTGTTGCAGAAGTACATTGAAGCAAATAAGTTCAAAGGGGCGTAACTCCTAGAAAAAAAATTGAATCATAATTTCCTGTCGATATGCACATCTACATAGTATGTCCTTATTATCTACAAAGTTACATGAAATTCTGTTGTGTGGTTTCAGAGGAGTTGCGTTGACAAACTGTTGCAGTAGTACATTGAAGCAAATAAGTTCAAAGGAGCATAACTCCTAGAAAAAAAATTGAACCGTAATTTCCTGTCGATATGCACATCTACATAGTATGTCCTTATTATATAAAAAGGTTTCATGAAATTCTGTTGTGTGGTATCAGAGGAGTTGCGATGACAAACTTTTGCAGTAGTACATTGAAGCAAATAAGTTCAAAGGGGCGTAACTCCTAGAAAAAAAATTGAACTGTAATTTCCTGTCGATATGCACATCTACATAGTATGTCCTTATTATCTAAAAAGGTTTCATGAAATTCTGTTGTGTGGTATCAGAGGGGTTGTGATGACAAACTGTTGCAGTAGTACATTAAAGTAAATAAGTTCAAAGGGGCGTAACTCCTAGAAAAAAAATTGAATCGCAATTTCCTGTCGATATGCACAACTACATAGTATGTCCTTATTATCTAAAAAGGTTTCGTGAAATTCTGTTGTGTGGTTTGAGAGGAGTTGCGATGACAAGAAACAGGACTGACAGACTGACAGACGGACGGGTCAAAAACATTATACCCTCCGCAACCTGTTGCGTGGGGTATAAAAATAGATAAACCAATGATGATAATGGCCAAGTTTGGTTCCAATTGACACAGTGGCTTCAGTGGAGAAGAACTTTGTAAAACTAAATGGACGATGACAAATGAAGGTGCGAAACCAAGTAATAAGAATACCTCACTTGAACCTTTTGTCTGGTGATCTAAAACAATAACCTTGCCATAAATAGGATGAAAATTAATATTGTATCCGACAAAAGGCAGGAATTAAATGTGAACAAAAGTGAGAAAAATTATGAGAAAGACTTGCAAAAGATGAAATGAATATTAGTCATTTTTAAAAGTTCATATTTATGTAACAGTAAAATGTTTTTGTCTTGAACTGCATGCAAATTTTTGCCACTGGTTATTTAACATGCATTCATTTATCTGTCAAATGTACCACATCTCTGCTAGATAAAAATATAAATCAAAATATGATAGAATTCATTCATCAGTAAAAAAAAAACCATATGCATGTTACAAAACAGACCTCAGCATAAATACAAGGCAGTTTATATAGTTTAAAAATATCACTTAAATATAAAAGTACACTATACCTTTATATTGGAGAACCAAGTCTGAGTCTCGTGTATTATTTTCATGTATGAAGCATGTTTATATCCTAAATATAGACACATAAATACACCAAAACCATTAAGAAACAGTTGTTGTAATGAAACACCCTGTAAAAGTGCGGGTAACCCTTCATGAGCACCATTGACATTTTTATGAAGACCGTTACGAACACTTCCTTTCCCTCTTGCCACCTTACGTCTTCTCAGTTCTGTCATTGTTCTATAGTATACCGCACAACGTAATAAAAGTGTCTTTTAATAATGAAGTTTACAATTCTAATGGTTTCTTACACAACAGTATTCTTTCCCTATGGAATTAACAATTTAAACAGAATTTAAAACTAGACATCAATTTCGTTCAATATAATCCCCACTGATAAATTTTCTCGATTGAATTGCAAATATAAAATAGAGTTAATTCATCTGTCTGTCAGATTAGCAATCTGATTCAGCAACAGAGAAAAGCATAGATGTTCATTATAGGAAACTAGAGTCGTCCATAACTCCCAATTAGAGAAGTGACTGACGATTTTCCCGATCAATATTTTCACATGCCATAAGGGAAGATTTATGGCTTTCTCCTATAACATCAGTAACACATATTTTTAAAAAATCAATGCCTTGTTTAGCACCTCTGAGTAACAGCAGTTCAAAAATCAGCAACCTATGTGTAACAAATTATTATAGCGCTAAAATATTTATGACTTTTTAAATCTGAGGCATTAAGGCTTATTGGATATGGGATAGTATTGATCCTACACAAAATACAGTATCATTTTAGGTTACTTTCATTAAAAGGAAATTGAAAACACATCAAATATCCTTTAACTATTATTTATTATTCATCCCATTTTTATATGCCCGTTTACAGGACGTATTATTTTCTTTGTAACAAAATAAAGCAATACAGATACAGTATTCAGTCATACTTGAAAGGAAATAATCATAAAATAAAACATTTTTAATTTTGGAAGATTTTGAATGTAAAATATTTATGAATATATAAAGCATTCTTTCAACTAATTTTTTGAAAAGTTGGTGAGATTGTTATCAGTTACTGTAACGTGTATGATTCATTGTAGGCAAAAAAGCTGAGCAGACTGAAAAACAAACTTTGTTGTGGTCATACTATACAGCAGGTATGCATATTTTTTGTGTAAAAATAAGAGTATACAATGTGCTATCATAAATGTATTTCAAAGTTGGGACTTATTTTTCATATTTTGTGAATTCATATAATTGAAACAATTTGTATTATTTAATTTCATACTGAAATTAAATATGGTGAAACAAACACCTGAAGTGGTAATCATGAGGTAGGGTTGGTTAATTTCATACTGTTATATTTTCATGGAGTGAATATGCCAAAGAGACCACAAACAAATGACAAAAAACAAAAAGGTATACAATATGAGTTATGTGCTTTAATTCTATGACAATTTTACCATCCTCTTACAGTGAGAACATTTCTCTACTCATCACCTGGTAACTAGTATCCCATAACACAGGTTAACTACTTGCTATCACATAACACAGGTTAACTGCTTGCTCTAACTACTATTGTGATGCCAATACACAGTGATACAATCTTAATATAAAACTTCTTTATACCCAAGCCTACACATACAGACAAAAACTTGATTCAGAAATAGTCTACTTCTTTCCCTTCTCAAATTCAAATAGAAAAATCAAATTAGGAAGCATTTTACTTGTATACCCAAGATAATAGATAGAGACTCCATTTGGTTAAGAAACCGTCTACTCAAATTGTCTCATCAATATATGTACATAGAACAATGAACTTTGCCAATCAAAATCACTGCTTGAGGAAACACATAATGTCATAAGCCTTATATTATTCCAAAGCTCCAGGTGACGGCCATAACTAATAAAGAGAGAAAACGCTGAATCTATATATTTGATGTGAATTGCTAATCTCTAACTGTGATCAGAAATTCAATTTATATTTCCCCTTAAAATACATAAAGGAAATAATTACAATGTGAAAACATCAATGATAATTACCAGTTGTTATTGAGCAAGTAATTTATATATTTACAATATTTCATAAATATCTAAAGTTTTCCACCAGTTCAACATTTCTATGATAAAAAATTTCACACCTTAGTTCTCCATAATAATTCTGTATAAATTTGTGTTCGTATATAATTAAGCAGTGACTGATTTATTTGCATTTGTTCATAGATATCTCAGATCACTGATTTTAATATTAGTGAAAGTACAACATATCAAATTCTCTAATTCTTTGCTGATTTATACTTTTCCCCCTGAATGGTTGATTATTTTTTTATTACTGTAATCAATTTGTGGTTTATTTGATCTCAGTTCTTCACTGGTCAAGATTCTATAATGACGTCAACTTTACTTGCTTCCCGCTGATTCCATTATTGTGACTTCGCAAATAAATGAGGAATGTGTCCATGGGACACAGATGATGCCCCCGCTTGCATATCATATTAAGTTATAAAAGGACATAACTGAAGAACAGTAAAAGTGACACTACCAAAATTTGTACTTGATCTGAGTTTTGTAGTAATAAGTATTGTGTATAAGTTTCATAAAACTTGGTTGAGGCAAACTTAAGTTAGAAAACGGAAACGAAAAATTCAGCAATTTTTCCATTTGTAAAGGAGCATAACTCTAGAACAGTTAAAAGTGACACCACCAAAATTCAAACTTGATCTGTATTTTGTGGTAATAAGCATTGTGTATAAGTTTCATTACATTTGGTAGAGTAAAACTAAAGTTAGAGAACGGAAACGAAAAATTCAGCAATTTTTCCATTTGTAAAGGGGCATAACTCTAGAATGGTTAAAGTGATGCCACCAAAATTCAAACTTGATCTGTGTTTTGTGGTAATAAGCATTGTGTATAAGGTTCATAACATTTGGTTGCGGCAAACTAAAGTTAGAGAATGGAAACCAACTATGGGACGTACGTACGGACGGACAAGGGTAAAACTTAATGCCCCCTCCGCTACGGCGGGGGCATAAAAAAAGGTGACTTTTCCTGATGAAATTACATAGAAAGAAAGCAATCTTTATGGAGACAATATCATTGAAAAAGAATGATAAAGATGGCCTGCATAAAGTAAAACAGTCACTAGTTTAACAGATTCCTCTACCACATCTCATCAGATATTATAGTTTTCAACTTTTAACAGTTAAATTTTAAATGTTTAAAAATTCTTGGCAAGCCCCATGTTTCAGTTTTAAATATTTCAACTCTCTCAGAGAAATATTGTATCTCACTTGATGCAGTGGTAGAATCTATATTTCTCAGACCCATAAAGGAAGCTTTGTCTGGGGCAAAAACAAATGAGATATTATCAAAGGGTATATAAAGACAATTGTATTTTTTTATAATCTTTGATATTCTCTACATTATAAGTATGTGTCATCATTTACTTTCCAAGTAATGTCAGTGGCAGATCCAGAAATTTTCATAAGTGGGGCCCACTGACTGTTTAAGAGGGGGCCCGCTCAGGTCATGCTTCAGTGATTCTCTATATAATCAACCAAATTTTTCCCAGAAAAGGGGGGCCCCCTCTAAATCTGCTCTGAATGTTTATCAATTAGGCTACAGTTTCAGTAATCACTAGATAAAATATGTATTGTATTTGAAATGGGTTCAAAATTTGATTCAAGATAAATGTACGGTACAGTACCTGAAATTTTGACAACTTTATAGAAAAAGGTTCAACTGTGGTGCTAATTTATACAAATAATAATAAAGTAGAAAGTCTTATAACAACAACACTGGAGGGACTGCTGCAGAAAATTTATTGATCGACATGTTTCGGTGCCTAGGGCACCGTCATCAGGATAACGGTTATTTAATTATCATAACACATAAAAATATAGTACTGATCTTCCCTCATCTTTTTAATAAAAAGAAAGAGAATTCAAATGGTGAAAATATTCACTTAATTTAAGGAGCCATTCCCTAAAGGTAAAAAAGGTTAAGACTGTCAATAAAGAGAAGTTTGTATGACATCAGTTTGTACCAATTTCCCCATGCACTAAAATGCTTATATCTTCTTTTGCAGAAGGAAATGCACTCCTACATTCCTGCTTATTACTTTCTACTGCATCAACAGCAAAGAATAATTATGACCAATTTATTGTGACATATTTCATGCTGTATTATCGATCAGCAGAGAAAGCATCCTTAAGGCATTGTATTCCTATCATTTCTATTACATTTCAAAAACAGTAGTAAATTTGTTTATTGATATATGATTTTTGTCGATCCTGTGACTTCTGTCGCAGAGAGCGAGACATAGGGATAGTGATCCTGCAGCGGCAGCGGCGGCTTTAACTAACTACTTTAAAGCTTTATATTTCAAAAGGTAGAAGACCTGGATGCTTCATACTTTGTATATAGATGCCTTATGTTATGAAGTTTCTGTCTGTCATATGCCCATTGTTCTTGACCTCATTTTCATGGTTCAGTGACTACTTGAAAAAAAAAGTTAAGTTTTTTGTAAAGTTAATTTCTCTCTTATTATGAGTAATAGGATAACTATATTTGGTATATGGTTTCCTTGCAAGGTCCTCATGTCTGTCAGACAGTTTTCACTTGACCTTGACCTCATTTCATGGATCAGTGAACTGGGTTAAGTTTTCATGGTCAAGTACATATCTCAGATACTATAAGCAAAAGGTCTACTATATTTGGTGTATGGAATGATTGTAAGGTCCAACTGGCAGGTGTCATCTGACCTTGACCTCATTTTCTTGGTTCAGTGGTTAAAATTAAGTTTTTGTGTTTTGGTCTGTTTTTCTTATACTGTATGCAATAGGTCAACTATATTTGGTGTATGGAATGATTGTAAGGTGTACATGTCCAACTGGCAGGTGTCATCTGACCTTGAAATCATTTTCATGGTTCAGTGGTTAAAAGTAAGTTTTTGTGTTTTGGTCTGAACATAGAAAGGATCTCTTGAGTTGCAAATCAATCAATGGCGTGGGGAATCCAGAGCAACCATTTATTCTGATGCCTCTCAAGGTCAAGAAAACTACGCATGCGCTTAATTACATAAACAAACCGTTAGAATTATGTTTGATTGAGGACAACATGTCAATTGTGGTTCTCAATTTCTTTATCATGTTTATGGAAGTTCAATATCAAAGTTTCATAAAGTTAACATAATAGGAACAACACCATTTCAGTACTTATCTGACAGAAATAGTTTTATTTTGGAACCACTCTCGCATTTTAACAAAACAGCAGAATTCCCACTTTGATGTGATGCTAAATATATAAAACCCTAATTATAGATACTGCTTAATACTGATTTTCCGTATTGTCAAATAAACGCAAATAAAAAAGGGAGATATCAAAACATGAGGATTGTGAGAAGAAAACTAAAGGAAAGTTGTTTAAATTCAATCTGTTTGTTTGTTTTACTCTTTAAAACAGAACAATCTTAAGAATCTGAGTTGTTCCTTAATATTAAGCACAAACGGTTGATGTGACAGCCTTGGAAAGAAGTCAAT